AGGTCGGTGTATATCCTTTGCCCCGGCCGTTGCTACAGTCGAATTCTCATTGCCGTTCTCAAACACGGGATGGTCCTGGTTAGATCCGGGAGGCGTCGTGTCCATGGCCGTCATTTGCACGTCACGAAGAGCGTCTCTCACGGGCGACTCGCTCCTTGGGGTTACCGGTTTATCCAACCAGCCATATCGAGACCGGATCGACTGATTGACATTCTCTCCGAGGGGCCGCGGAATGTGCGAGGTCTTCCGCACTTCTTCATGGTGCATGTTTGACATAGCTGCTGAGCGAGCCGACAATTTCAGGTTGTCACTTGAGGCCACTGCACGTGGCATTGGGAGTTTGGACAGCCGTGGAAGGGTACCACGCACGGGGATATGGGACCCCTGCTCATTATGGTGGTCCATGCTTTCTCAGAGACGAGATGTTGGTGAGCCTAGTTTCGCTGAGGACATGGGTTCCGATGAGAATATCATCTGGCTCTGGTTGCAGACAACTGCTGGGGGATATTGTAGAACTCAGAAGCTCAGAGAATATCAGCGTCGAGGAAGCTGAACCCTGCGTAGAAAAGGTCCCCTGGGGTGTTGACATTGGTCAGGGGTGACAGGGTGAGCAGGAAAAAATCCTAGGCTGGTGGTTGTCCTACACGACCGCGCTAGCCCACGCCACGGTGACGCCAATTTGACGCGTCCGGCGCCTCCATTAGGACCCAAACCGCGTTCAGTTAAGAGGATGCGCGAATCCCAAGCCTCCAGGTGACACCCCAGCGCCGTGGTGCCTAAAACTCTACCTACGTACTCCGTTCTTGTCCCTACTGGTCCTTGTAAGGGTTAGCCTTGGACGGGGTCCGCTCCACCCTACCTCTTACGCGCACTGTTCCATCACCAGCTGCTCCAGTGCCTCCAGCGCCGCCGGGTTCCCACTCCACCGTCACCACCACTTCAACCTCGACCTCAACCTCTTCCCAGCCTCTCCTCTACCATCTCTGTCCCTCCTCCCCCTCGCCCTGCTCTCGCAATCCTCCTCAAATTCTGTCAAATACCAACCTGCATTCTGTGCATCTTCCTGTCTTTACCCGAATTCTCCAGCTGAGTTCCAGGCTCGCGCTCTGACCCAGTCCTTCTTTTGTCCGTATTTCACCTGATACTCTCGACATTGAACGCACTGTGCCGAAGCGCTGTTCCGCTTCACCCAATTTCATCTCTGTCGCCAAGGTCGCATCCCTCTAAACGGCGGCTCTCTGCACGACCTGCGCTGCGTGAAGCCGCCATTTGCCTATTTGTTGGACACTTGGAACCCAACTGGCCACTGATTCGGATCAATCCCTCTGGTATCGATAGCGACATGGCGAACTCTCCATCCCCCGTGGATGTCTCGACGGTTCCAGCTACTCCTCCCTACGTCCGCGCTCGCTCAGCAGACAGCATGAATAAATCCTCGTATGCATCCCCTCCACCGATGTCGGCCTCCATGACCCCGCCTCCGTCGACGCAACCTCCTCGTTTTCAGTCTCCCGTCAATCGCATCAACTCTGCTCCCATCGATGCCCTGCTTGCTTCACCTCCACCAACGGCGATTAGATCTAATGTCCTCAGCGCCTTGCCAACGCAAGATGCGATCGCGAAAGCAGACATTGAAGAATTGCGAAGCATGGCCACGGATTTGGTCGCAGCGGTGCGAGAAGCGCGAACGTCGGCCGCTCATTTCAAACTGCAACACAGTCTTCTGGCTATGGAGGCGGACCAGGCTGCGCAACGAGCCGAAGTTGAACAACAAATGAGCCGTCGGGAGATCGAGGTTCTCCAGACCGCCGAGTATAGGCACCGTGCGTCAATGCAGTCACGAAACTCGGTTCCTCCACCCCAGCCGCAGATTGAGGCTTTGACCAAAACATGTCAAGCTTTGGAGGAGGAACGCGACGAAGTAGAGAAGCGCCTGACTCGAGCAAAGAAGCTTGTCGAGTTGCAGAATGATCGAAACGAATTGCTTGAAGAGGAGAATGCCCTGTTGAAGAGGCGAATTCGTGAGAACAGAGAGCACTTCACCAAGTTCAAGTGTCTGTCGCCATCGCACACCACTCCTCGCGACACCTTCACGACTCCTCACCGGAAGCCTGTACCTCGCTTCCCAGAATCTGCACCTGTACCGAACCATTCGAACATTGCTGCCCTTCTAGCCGCAGGTGAAGTACTCAGTGGAGAGTCTCTTAGCGTCCCTTCAACTCCCACGCGAACGCACACCTCCAAATTCAAGCATGGCCATACCCGTGGGGCTCATTCTCTGTCGTCACTGCAAACCACACCGATACAAGTTAAACCTCCCACCCATGACGGCTATCCAGGGTCTGTGGTGCCCTTTTCCGCCCCCTCTTCCCAGTTGGCCATGGAGTCAGCTGAAAGAGAACGCCATGACCGAGACAGCACCATTTCCATCTCTGATGTCGAAGAGGGCAACAACGATGACAGCATTCCAGAGTCTCAGGCCAGTTCATTGGCGAGTGATATGTTGCGTCGAAATCCAGGCTCCCAGGAGAGCTTGAGGCTATCTCAAGGTGCAGAACGCTCTAGCAATCTGCTTCAGAGCAAGATATTTGGTACCATCAAGAAACCTGGTCAGCTCAGAAAGCGAGGAGCGAGTTTTGGAGAGTCTGACATCAAGGCGAAGAAGGCGAAGCTTTCTCAGGGAGTTGGACTTGGGATTGGGTCTTGGAGTCAAACGTGAATGGCAAGTGCAGATGATGGAACGAATGATGATTGGAGATATGCTTGTAATGATACCCTCCCGAATCCGGCGTTAAGATTGGAGGCTACAAATTGGCAGTGTTACAGTAAGGAAAGGCTCTACCGTGGTAGCTCATGCTCAGTCATATCAATGGAGAACATGCTCAATTTTATTATGAACAAGTACAAGGTACCAATCTCGAAAAATGTGGTCTGAACTCGAGGGAACAAATTGTGTCCGCTGCATGAAGCAGTCAGTCCCAGAAGTGATTCCCAGCCCTGAGGTGCTCGTAGAAATTCGCGAGGCTGAGGACACGAGGCTAGTCCGAAAGCAGAACAAACCAGCCACGTGACTACACAAATCTTGGCCCAAATTATCTCTGCCAAGCCTCGAAATTGCATCCTCGCACTCCACCAAAAGTTCGACCTCAGACTTTTGTGTGTGTGTGTGTGTGTGTGGTGTGCTTGGGATCCCAAAACCTCTTATCCCCTCTCTTCCACAACTCTCCCAAGGGGACACTCTTTTTCTCCTGTTTCTGTTCGTCCATTTTCTCGATCATCTCGCAACAATGGCGATCAAGCACAACCAGCAACTCCCCAACAACCACTTCCACAAGGACTGGCAGCGCCGCGTCCGCGTGCACTTTGACCAGGCCGGCCGCAAGTCTCGACGCCGAGCAGCTCGTCTGGCCAAAGCCGCTGCCGTTGCCCCCAGACCTGTCGACAAGCTCCGACCCGTCGTGAGGTGTCCTACGATCAAGTACAACCGCCGTGCCCGAGCCGGTCGGGGGTTCACATTGACGGAACTCAAGGTACGATTTTCCCCTCCTCATCTCTAGCCTACAATTTGGGTCTGGTCATCGAAGGGACATGGGAAGGAGGGGTGTGTGTGTATGTGTGTGTGAATTGAAAGAGGTGAATGTGAGAAAAGAGAAGGGGTTCCGGGATAAGATACATTGCACTGCGCACCCTTCAAGCCCAAACCACAAAAGCTGGAAATATTTCATTTCCCTTTTGTTACCAAAATCTACCCTCCAATGCAAAAAAGCCCTATGGAAGCCTATCTCACTAACCATCTTTGCCCGCTACACAGGAAGCCGGCATCCCCCGCAAACTCGCACCCACGATCGGCATCGCCGTCGACGCCCGCCGCGTGGACACCAACCAAGAGACACTGGCGCTCAACGTGTCGCGCTTGAAGGCGTACAAGGCTCGACTGATCCTGTTCCCGCGCAAGTCCGGCCAACACAAGAAACTCGACTCGTCCGAGGCTGACGTCAAGCTGGCGACCGAGTCGGCGGAGAACAAGGACGGCAAGATCGCCACGTCGGTGCGGGACGTCATGGCCATCGACGCCGGCGTCGGCCTCAAGCACGGCTTCAGCGAGATCAAGAAGGGCGACCTGCCCGAGGGCGAGGAGGACGCGTACCGGAAGTTGAGACAGGCTCGCAGCGAGGCCCGGTTCGTCGGCGCGCGCGAGAAGCGGGCCAAGGCCAAGGAGGAGGCAGAGGAGGCCAAGAAGAAATAAAGAAAGAAAGACAAGATCCGGGGGGGAAAAGAATACCAGTTTTCTACCTTTTCTTTTTCCCTTCACTCCTCGACCACTTGCGACAACGACAACGACGACAATAACACACCAAGATCTGCACTCGGTGTTCTGTGTCTGGGGGCTATGATATGAACGTACGGTTTGGGTGCGGGAGAGTGCGCAGAGAGAGTGTTTGGGTGAGGGATTGAGTTCAAATGGGGATGAGAACATGCATGGAGTGAGGAAAAGCCATTACCCCCCAAAAACAACATGATTGCCATTATGAACCATGCGCATGCGAGGCTCGGGCATGAGTCAAAACGTGCGAGATCAATACTAGTATCCGGAACCAAAAAAAAAAACAATTGTCGTGTTTCAATTCCCCTGGAGGTCTTTCCTATCCATTCCCACCTTCGCATGGCTTGACAGGGTCCCCGAACATGGATTCAGGCAGTGCATGAGCGCAATAGAAAAATGAAAATTCAGTGACAGGCGTAAAAGCAACGACGCATTTCCAATCAATAAAGCCCTTTGGTCCTTGTAAAAAGGGATCTCGTAAAGCTTTTGATGGACAAATTTCATTATCCTGACTGATCACGCCTGACACTCAACCAGCCCGGACCAGCAGCAGACTGTTGAGCCGTGTCCTTCTATCCTGGCATACACAACCCAACGGTCCTGCTCAGAGCGAGAGGGGTATCTCACAATATTCGTCAATTCATGTCTTCGTGATTCGGCACATCCTCACCACCCGTCACGCCTTTTTCTTGCCCTTCAGCGTACTGGTAAATTTGAATTCGTCGCTGTCTCCATGGATCAATGTCCAAATGTTCTCGAATGCTCCCTTGACACCAAGCGTTGGGATCAAGCTGCAGAAGACCGTCCTCAATCCAGGTTCTGCTTTCTGGGGAATCCCACTGACAGAAATCTGGATGTCAGAAGTAGGTCCGCCAGCCCAGTCCATATTGATGGCCCATGAGAGCATGACCTTCCTTCTGAATTTCTTGCCGCCTGCTGTAGTATTCATTTCAGCTTCGACTGCCACATTCTGCGTCATATCCAAGTAGCGTGCCAGTTCAATAGCCTTGTTCTGAGTCAGCTGTTGATCCTTTTCTTCTTCGATCTGATGCTCATCATCGGACAAAGAGCTGTTGTATTTGATATCCAGCCACTGGAATACTTTGGCACGTTCAATTGCAGCATTGAACCATCGCCCGATTCCCCAGATCAGCCCACCGACATCAAGCCGGTGTAAAGGATGCTCCAGACGGTCGTAAACCCATCTGAAGATCTCGGCTTTCGTTGTCTTGGTACGGCGCGCTCTGCTCATTACATCCTTCAGTTCAATGTGTTCGACCTGGACGTTTTCCGCATCAACGACCACTTCAAAAGCGCAAGAGAGTGCATCTGGGAGCCATGGGGGTGGTGCTTCAATTTTCAACAAGTGGACAATCTTCGTACGATCTCTGATTGCCTTGGTCTCCGCGTGAGCAGTCAGTTGTAGGTTAGCAGGTGCAAACAACGATAAGTGAGCGGACATCGCGCCGCCGCCATCAGTAGACCCGAGGCCTCGGAGAGATCTGTCCTCCAAGAGTGATTGCTGTAGCATAGAAACAGTTTCCTCGCTCACATTCTTGTCATCAACAAGAGCTGCCTGCAGTTTCTCGTTCTCCCCTTGTAATTGTTGTAATTTCCCTCTCAGCGTCTCCAGGATCGATGCTTGTTCTCCACCTGGTTCAGAAGGTGCCTCGATGTCTTCTTGTGCCTCTTCAAGCTCACTTTCTGGTGCTTCCTGCGCATCGTCCTGCCCACTGACGCTCTGTCCATCGGAGGCTTCATCAATTGGAGGGGCTCTAGGCTTGAGAGGACTGCTAGTGAGGGGCATCCGTGATTCATCTCTCCATCTGCTTGATCTGCCACTCATCTTCGAGCTCCTTGGGCTGCTGCTGGATGCCAAACCACGAGGTCGTTCAGGTGCAGGGCTCAGACCTAGCTCAACAGGCGTGGGAGGTAGCTTGGGTTCACCGCTCACGCCTCGCGCAACAGGTCTAGCATCCGTGTCTTTTCTAGTGACCAGCTTGGGCAGGATTGATGGTGGAGCAGCCTCTTCACTAGATGCCGATCTCTCCCAGGCCGGATGTTGTGCGGGCTGCCGCTCTTTCAGCGCCGGGCGCTCATTGTCGATGACTTGGTCTGCTCTTGTAGTCGCGGCCTCCTTCAGCGACGCAGTGGAATCTGGAGCCGACAGGTTTTCGTTCGCTTGGGTGGTAGATGGGTCGGGTGCACCGTCGAGGCTCTTCTGGCGAGGAACCTGGGACACCGTCTTGGGCGGATCGGGAACATGCTCATGCCTTCCCAGGATTTCGTCTCTCAAGAGCCTTCCCCTTGGTTCGGTGGCTGAGCGGCGGGCAGATCGAGTGATGAGGTGCGGATGGGAACGTGCCAAGGAACTTTTGGTGGGAGAGCGGTAGGAGGCTCTTGTAGGAGTCGTTGGCTGTGCGTTGGCTGCCGAGGTGGCACTCGTTGGCTGCGACAGACTCGGATCGACCTTTCGTCTCTTTGCCGGAGACTGCAGCATTGTGGGCGGTCGTTGCCGTCGTGGACGATGTCGCCCGATTGAGGGCTCTGTTTCTGGATTTTGGGGGAGGAGGAAGGCGCGCCCCTGGACGCGACGGGCGGAAACAAGGGTCATTAGTCGTGCTCTAATCTATTATGGGAAAAATACAATGCCGCCCTGATGATATACATCGACTGGGCCAACGAAGAGGCAATAATTGCGGTTAAGTAAAAGCGGCACAATTAATGTATCAATTTCGGATTGATCTAACCCGATATTGCTTCTATGTATATGCAGCGAGACTGGCAAAGTCGTTGGTGTCAAGAGCACCTTTTATTCCGCAGCTAATGTCCAGCCATCGAGTGTCTGTCAAAGGTATGTTCATTATATTACACATTATCACTGGTGATGGTCATACAGCATGTTCATCCCCGACGCCTGCCCATTTTCTTTTTCCAAACACCAGCGCCTGGACCCGTCCGGCTGCGTGAGCCACCCGGCCCAATACAGCCCGCCTCTCATTTTGACCTTGTCGTCTCTCTCCCTCGGCGCCATGGTTTCATACCCTTGCATCTCCTCGCGGAGGTGATTGTCCCGATTGCACAGCATCAGCCATACGGCAAGCGGCCTTGTGGGTTCACATGGCATCATCATTTTCTCGTTCAATGCCCGCCAGCGGAAGATTGCGAAGACAGTAAGGACCATCAGGGCCAGTATCGCCCAGCTGGTGTATATACTGACGAGGTAATCGAGCCAGATCTGGGCAGAGTTGAACGGCACGCCACCGATGGCAATGATCAAGACATCCGACAGTATGGCTACAAATGCCACAAAAGCGTGGAAGAAGTTGCCCCTCCAGAGCGCCTGGAAGATACTTGTTAGAGGCGTCGAGTTCTGGGACACCAGGATCGTGGCCTCTGGCTTTGAAGACCCCTGGAACAGTCGTCGATATGGCGTTAGAAGTCGGACTTCTCGCTCCAACTGTTTCCAGCGGATATCAAGCAGACTGGCGGCGGCTGTAAGGACAAGTTGACTCGTCGGATTGTGGTTGAAATAGTTGTTGAAGGGATCATCGTGCCCATCCATATAGTACCCTACAAGCACGCCGAGAAGTGCTAGAATGCAAAGCAGGAAGATCGTGTCGATAAGAAATCTGTTTGACAGCGTACTTTTGGAGGTGTGCATTTGGCTCTCACCCGGACGTGGTGCCAGAGCAGAATATTTCGGCTGTTTGGTGTATCTGACTGAGTGCTCTGGCGATTGTTCAGGCGCCTTTACAATCCCATACCTGATATAACCCGTCGTTGTCTGATGTTGGCGGAGCATGTATCTGTACGGTCTGAGGATTTGTTTCGCGGACGAACGACTCGATCTTTGGTCAATTTTCCGCAAGTCCTCCATGAAGTCTTCGCTGTTGAGGAGCGAAGCCATCGTCGCAATTGAGGACGGATTGGAGAATACCCCACTGCGACGGCGACTAGACAGTGCGATGACTAGAAGAATGATGACCGCAATAAGAGAAAGAATCGCTTGTAGAGCTCTCGTATAGTCGACCTTGAGGTACCACATGGGGTTGCACCGTTCCATAATGAGCGTAGGGCTCCTGCACCATGCGATCGCTCTCACAGTCGTAGATTGAGTTGCAATGGCCGGAAGAGCGCTTAGGCAAAGGTAGACGACACCGACCAGGGTGACAACAGGATGACAAAGAAACATGTTCCAGATATCATCAATCGACAGACTAGTGGCCAGATAGTCGGCCAAAAGGGATTCTGCGGCAGAGGCACCCTTCTCCCGGGATAGGAGATGAAACGGCTCCATCATCTTCGTAGAAGTGAATACAATGGCCCAAATGAGTTTGAGAACGACTGCTACCAGGACAGGCAGGTATATGGCGCGAAAGTATTGAAGGTTGCTCACGGCCAGACCAAGCTCGACCTCATTTGCTCTCTGATGATCTGGAGGTGTGGTCGGGACAGAGGTACTTTCAGCGAGGACTGTTGGGGCTATGGTGCCACTGTAGGAGGTCAACGTTGCGGTGATGGTTGACAGACTCCCAGAGGCGTCGAGGACTGTTTCAGTCATTACAGCGACGCCGTATGTCTCTGTTGCCACGGCCGTTACTGTATTGCCTGACGCATCCTCTGTGGTGTAGGTAATCAATGCAGTGAGTTGTTGGTAGCTTGTTTGAGCCGATGATGATGGAGTGGATGCTGTGTAGATTTGTCCAGAAGACAACCCGAATGTTCCGAAAGAGCTGCTTTGAGATAGAGAGTCAACGTCTGTAGTGCTTACGATTCTCGAACCAGTCACTGCGATAGCTGTCGTAGTGTGCGTACGTGAAGTCGCGCTGTTAGAGGGCACAGTATAGGGGTTAGTGGATTTTGTCGTCGTTGATTGTTTTACATATCCTGTGGTCGTCTCGTACCAGGTGGTGGTGGTGCTGGTTGTCCCTTTCCCTGAGGCACTAGGAGCAGCCGTAGACTGCGCTATATATGCAGTGGTGCTGCTGCTCACCTTCAATGGGGTGGCAGAAGTCCCAGGCGAGGTTGTTGATGGGACGATGTATGGAGTAGTGCCGCTCCCCACCGTCGTTGTAGCCATCATCGGGGTAGTGCTTGTACTCTGGGATTGCACAATATAGGGAGTCGTGCCGCTCGTCATGACGGGTGTTGCAGAGATGTCGGGGTCGGTTGTTGATTGCGCGATATACGCACCAGTGCTGCTCGTGGTTGTCATAGTTGTCGTCATTCCACCAGATGTTTTTGTTGAGCTGGTGACGGTTGCGACGTATGCTGTCGAGACGGTCGATGGTGTTGTTGACGTCTGGCTGGTGATTGGATTAATATATGCTGTTGTGGAAGACGTAACTGGGAGCATGGTGGAAGTGATTGATGTAGAGGATGGGCCCGAAGCCGATGTCGTCGCTGGGTCAATGTAGGCACCACTCGAGGTGCTAACAGTCAGTGCTTGTGTGGACGTAGAAGAGCTCGAGTCGTCGATTACTGTTGTACTTGTTGCAGTTGTTGGCGAGCTTGATACCCCTGTGTCCTGTCTCTTCAGTTTGCTGTGATTCTGTTGCTGATCCTTCTCTTCCAGCGTTAAGCCCGAGCGAACGCCATACTCCAGTACAGCAATACAAGCCAGTATGATCAGGAAGATCAGGGTCAAAGCAGGCCATCTGGTCGAGAATGGTGTATAGTATTTGGGGGCTTTCGATTGTCTTTTTGGTGGAGAGCCTTGTCTTCTGTCAGCCTTGTTTGGTGAATCGAATAACCAGACCTACTCCAGGCAGCCTCTGACACCACCGCATACTTTCCGTGGCTCTCTTCATGCCTGAACATGGTGGATAGGGCGGGAGAAGACAGTCAATGCTCATGACACTCGAGCCAGATGATGACCTGGACATCTTAACAATGTCTGGCATGGCTGGCAGCACATGGACCGTATTTGCGGCCACACTACTTCCTGCAAGGGTCTCTACGGACTTCTCTTGAGAAGTTTGACATGGACAATGGTGCCGTCGTGCATCCACGGCTGAAAAGTAGTAGCGAAGCCAACAAGCGAACACGGGGTTCTGGTTACCAACGTTACCACTTTGGGCAAGAGCAGTATACCAAAGTTCAAAGGTCTCGGCCTCGGGTTAGTCGAGGCGGGCCCTGTTCTAGATCGTGATTCGTAGATTGTAGGTGTACTTCGCAAACCTAGAATAGAATCAAGACATTGCTCCGTGAACAAGGCATTGCGCGGATCTGGTCTTGTTCTGCACAAGCTCAACCAAGAACCTCTCGCTAGAGATGATTCTGCCTTGCCCAGAATGCCTTTGACTCTTCCAGTGGGGGCGGATAAAATGGATCCGTTGATAAACGAAGGCAGCCCTCTATTGCCCCGTACCCACTGGTGTAGTTCTTCTCAGCCTGATTGATGCATCCCTCCACCTGTCGGTAGGGCTGCGCCACGAGTTTTGCCACCAATGCACATGTAGTGCGGCTGGAGTGCCGACACGATATCATGTCGGCCAAAAAGTCAGCCCGTGCAATTGGATGTGTGGTGTTCGTGTATGCACGCAGCTTGTCACCTCTATCACGCTGAATCCATATTCCTAGCTTCTTCTCTTGTAGGGATTAGCAATAGCCAGCCAACTGCACCCTTCCCTCCAGAATTGTTGGCATCCTTGCGCTTGCCGGTGTCTGAATGGAAGATAGGTCTCCGACAAGTGTAAAACCTTCTCCCAATCCTCTTCACTAGTCGATATGGCACTTCCGCGAAGCTGTTCGATGTACCACAAGCGAAGCGATGTCTCGCGGCTGACGAAGCCACCGACAATTGTTGCCCAGAGCATTGTGTCAGGGGACGTCTGCCAATAATCCCGCTTATCACACTCGTCAAGTAACAGCATCAGCCGTCGCGAACCATTTTGGTGGAAGGCGCCAACAACGGGCAAGGGTTCGAGGCACTCGACTAGAAAGACTATGACAGCAACCCGACAGAGATTGAACAGGAGATCCTCGCCACTCGGCAACGACAGTGCCTGGTGCTGCAAGATGCGCCACGCCGCGACTAGTTGCCCAAAATCTATGCTAGGACCAGAGCCCTTCAGAAAAGTGTCGTAAGCATCAAGTAAGGCATCAACGTCCTCGATCATGGTTAGGAGCCGTCGGCCAAGGTGTCTGCCCCTTAAGAAGCGAAATCCCTGGCATGAATTGCTCTTGTCTGGTTTGCGGCACTGGCGAAGAGCCTCCAGTACGGGGCTTGGAGGGAAGAAGAGCGGGAAAGCAGGTACTCTGAGGACCGAGAGCGAATCAACAATGTCAATCCTAACTTGTGAGCAAGCACCCAACGCATGGTGGAATATTACGCACGTCATGATGATGCCGGCTAAGGAGTCAATGCCGAGTTTGTGCAATCCACCTCTTTGTTTCACCAGGGAGAATAGTGCTTGGAAATGAGTCGGTTCCCAGACTTTGCTGCCATAATACTCGTAGTCTCTCAACTGCTGTGAGCCTACCAGAGTGCGACCTTGCAGGTCGTTAGGAGGGCCGTGAATGGTTAGTATGGCAATTGCGAGGAGCATGGCATCCCCATGTTGCGCGTTTGGCTGGAGCATTGCCTCTCGAAGTTGTCTCAAAGTTTCATGGTAGAAATTGATGCGATGGAATTTTGCAACTGAGTCTTGAGTGCCGAAGAAATAGCGATAGGAAGACCCCGCGTAGGTGATTGCCGGCACCAGGTAGGGGGATTCAAGCGCATATTTTACCGTGACGGACCGCCATCTGTCGATGTCTTGTTTTCTGCTTGACAACGCAAAGCACGGCCATTGATCGATAATGGCTGCAAATCAGATCGAGACTGTGGATGTAGCAGACGACAAAACATACCGGATTGAAACATCTCCTGCGCATACGTAGATAGATTGTTCACAAAAAAGACATCGAAGGGATCGAACCGGCTCCCACTGAGATCTGCTCGAGGCACTGGAGTCGTCGAGAGGGGAGAGTGGTCCGTGGGGACGAGGCGAGTTTGCGACCGTGGCAATCTTTTCCTCTGTCCACGTTGATGTGCCACACTAGCAGCATGTTGATGTTGGCGACGCACTTGCTCCTTCTTCTTCCACTCTGAGGGCTTGCCAGCGCTATGGATAAAGGGGGTTTGGGGATGCTCTAGATTGTTTGCCATTCGCAGGAGTTCATGCAAGGGACGGAGAAGTCTTTGCAGGAGAGAATGGTGCTTGCATTGCAGTAAGGCTGGTATGTATCTGTTGCTATTTTCAGGCTTGAACTGCGGAAGCTACAGTCCAGGACGCCAGTGGGCTGGATATGATGATTGCCTACCGGTAGGCACCTCAGCGTCCGGCCTAGGTTCCCTGTGGCTTGAATCCGCCATGGTGGTGGCGCCAAGGTCGTGAGCTTCGTCCAGGTTGAAGTGGAAGCGGTGGTTTCTGTGGGAGTTTCTTCTGAAACCGCCCTTTGCCAAGGAAGCCTCAGAGCTCAAAACTGCTCTAGTTTTGCTGTTATTGGCCCAATTGGGCTGTTTGCGGAGTTTGCGAGTCTTCCATCCGAAGAGCCAAGTGGGGTGGCCTTGGCCCTAGCAGGAACGTCATTGACTGATATGGTTGGTCATCGCTAGTTCTTTCCCCGGATGGCTCAAATGGACCAAGCAGCGGCTGCCAAGAAGGCCTATTTCTCGACCACTTTACGGTCTGTACATACAAAGACACAGCAGAAGGCTCTCTGAAAATGGCGTGTTAAGAGTGGTTGAACATGCGAAGTCTTGTAATGCTCAAGCCTTGTGCAGTAGTAGAGGGCTAATGCCTGTGCCAAGATAGGGAACGGTGTAGGGGTTTTTTTTGGCCCCCGAGGATCCAAGCACAGGGTGCGATTATGTTTGTCTGTTTCCTCCTCCCATTTTGCAGCCCCTGCAGAGGTGCAAACCATTCTGCAATTATATTTTGCAGAATGGCTAGACCAAGCTCCAAGACTGGAGGCCATGTAGACAGTCACTGGTGTCCATTCTGCCATTCTAAAGGAGCTGGTATCCCCTGTTTATCTATGCTCGCCGCCTTAGTCTCGGTTTTGTTGAACACACACATGCCTGACATAGCGCAACCAGACGACCAGGTCCGTGATCTCAATTCGTCAGAAGGGTTTCCAGATCGGTTGTCGTTGGCATTAAATTGTCAATGCTGGACGGTCGAAGGGCGAGGTAAAAGCAGCGGCAGACACACTTCAAAGAGGGGCTGCTTGTGTTGAGGGCCCCACCAATGACGATTTATCCGAATTGCATTACTTAGACATTCGCGATGATGGTCGTGACTGCCAAACTGTGATGAATGACGGATAGTCACGTTTCAGACTGATTGTCCAGTCTCTACGTCATCATGGCGAACGATACATGCAACCCGGCACGAAGGACTTCAATTGGCAAAGGCGATGGAAGTCTTCGCCGAGGCCCTCCCAATAAAGCTTTGCTAAACACCCTCTCTGGCTGACTTCCATCTTGTCGGGAAATTCACAGACCTTTCAGCGTTTCACGAAACCCACGTTTAGACTGACTCCAGGTCCGCTCAAAGATCTCTTTGCACGTCCCGATACTTCGGTCTCTCAGAGCTAGTATCCCTTCCAACGACATGTCATACCTGACTCGGGCATCAGCTCCCTTGCGGAGTGCTGGAAGAACAGTTTCTATCAGGTCAACTGCGGCCATCCACACCTCGTCGGCACGTTTGGCTTTGAGTGAAGACCATGCTCGTATGTTTCTCGACCCTCTATTGTTGACAACTGTGGTTTGCTAACCGGGGGAAACGACCACAGACAACGAAGAACGAGCTGCCGACATTGAACGCCACAAATCCGACAGCGTCGAGAAAGCCAAGACTGGTCGAGGGGAATGGAAGCCCGAGCTGGCCTCTCAAAGCGAACAGGCCACACGTGGTGACAAACATAACCTGACAATGGAGCAAATGCAAAAGTTGGCCAAGGAGAAGGGCGAGCAGGAGGGAAAAGCCAAATAAGAGGTGGACGGGAAGAGCCACAAGGGTCAAGTGGTGGAAGTGAATACTGTATGACGAGGTCGTGGTCGAGTTCGATGCCTCGTAAGGAAAAAGAGAAAAGATCGCACAGTTGGTCGTGGAGCACCCAAACTGCGACATCTAAAAGCGAGAGAATTGAAGTCTTCTGGAGAGGCAAAGCAGAACCACATCAACCAAACCCAACAGACGAGCGCTCTGGCGTCGATAATTTGTACATATTGACTTGCAATGTCCAGAATTAAAAAACTTCTCCATCATGAGCTGAATCCGTTTCATGATCATATTTCCAAAATGGTTGCATTAATCCGTGATATGATGACTAGTCTTACCATCATAAATATACCCCGGCACCATACCTACATGTCTAGCTGGATATCTGCAGCATGTTACCGTACATTCCCCCCCGATATAAGAGTAGTTAGTCCAACCCTTCGTCAATCCCGTCATCAATCGTCCGTCGTTAGAGCATGTACCTGAAACCTGAGCCACCCTCGCCGCCTCCAATCTTTCTCGCTCCACCAATCAATGTCTCTTGGGCGTCTTCATCTCCTCCGGGTCCGGTCCCCGTGTCCTCGTCTTGGTTACTACTCACCATCTCATACTCTCCGCCCAGCCCGGGCTCTTTGTTCGCAAATCCATTCCTCTTGTTCTCGCGCTGCAGGACCAATCTCAGCACCCCGGCGAAGCCGGCGACACCGACGGCCATGAACGCGGCACATACAGCCATGCCTTGAACGTACAGAGGGCCCTGGCTCTTGGGGAACAGATGCACCCCGATCAGCGGGCCACACTGACCGATGACGTTCAGAATGGTCAGGCCGGTGCCCTTCCCCGTGGCTGTGGCTTGGTTGTTCAGTGTCCACGTGATGATGAGGGTGACGGAGGAGAAGAGTCCCATCGCCGCCCCGTACACGCTCACATAGCGGATCGTGATACTCCCAGCCTCTCCCAGGGACTCGTGTAAATATCCCGCGATGGCGATCCCGGCGTACGAAATGGCGCTGAGCAGAGCGACACCCATGAGAAACAGGGACCTCGAGTCGTGGATTTTATCGCTGTATTTGCCCACCAAAAGGACAAAGAAGAAGGCGAACAGGTACGGTGGAGCTGCTAAAGCTTGCGAGGTTAGAGGAGAAAAAGACATGCTGTTGATAATGGTAGGTAGGAAGACCGGGAGGGAGCTGAATGAGACATTCACGCTGAGGAACATGAGGGCCGTCAGGTAGGATTTCGGATCGAGAATTGTGTTGACGATTTCTTTGGCGTTGATCCGTTGGGCTAATGACATGGTCCCCGAGGCGTGGGATGGCTCGTGAGAGTGAGAGCCATGGCTGTCTTCGGCTCGTAGTCTCATGACCGCCACTTTCCTCTCCCGCGCCGTCAAATACCGGGCCTTCGATGGCGAATCTGGAATCCAATACCACGCGGCCACGGCCGTGATGATGGACGGGAACCCTTCAACCAAGAACAACGCTCTCCAGGGAGCAATAGGTCCATTCTGGCTCAGCTTGACAATCACCCATGCAAGGGACCCGGCGAAGCTTGTCGCCAGCGGCGCAGCGGAGATTTGCAGTCCGACTCGGTAGGCCAGTTCGGAGCGCTTGTAAAAGTACGTCATGTAGAAAGGGACACCCGGTCCAAAGGCGGCTTCTGTGATACCCAGGATACCACGGAGGACGAGCAATTGGCCAAACGATGTGGTCAGACTTTGTAGACTCGCGACGAGGCCCCATGACAGCACACACAGTGGTATGTAGATGTGAGCGGGAAGTATCCGGTAAAGCAAGATCATCCACTCGAATCCAATGTACGTGATATAGAACGCCGTGAGGAGCCAGTCGTACTGCGCCGACGAGAGAGAAAGGTCTTTTTCCAAACCCGCGATTCGAGCGTTGCCGATGTTAGAGCGGTCGAGGAAGCTCAGCATGTAGAGAAGGCCCAGGAAAAAGACCAATTTGCGGTCCAGCTTGCGCACCAGAGCCGACTCTTCCTCAACTGTGTAATCTTTGGAGTGTGTTGCCGTCCTCCGCAAGCGTCGTTTGAAATATTCTTCATCTTCCTCGTCCGAATCGCTGTCTCTGTCGGATAGCTCATCCTCTGTCCCTATATTTTCTGTCTGTGGAGGAGCATGGTGCAGTTTTTGCAGCTCGACGACCTCTGACTCGATCTCGCGAGACGTACGAGTCTGCGCAACGGGTGTCTCGTCGCGAATAGCCTCCGGGGCGGGGATTGCAGAGGATAGGGTATATCTTGAGCTCAAAGGCCGCTCGTTGGGTGTGGACGCCGACGAGGACATGGTTGTGCATGCAGTGGTACCAGTGCTGCTATCGCATAGGCTTGTTTGGGTGCTTGGGAGTCTCCATTGGATGTGAAGCGAGTCAAATCAGACTTCCTGGGCTTCAGGACGCCTGCACTGGAACATGTCGGCTTGTGTGGTTTGTTGATTTCTACCACTGTGCCTCGTGCCTCGTAGCAATTTTGGAGTGGTACGAGTAGCTAGTAACTTCGTCGCTCTGGGTGTAGCTCTAGCTGAGGCGTCAGCGTTATCGGTGAGAGCTGCGGGGGATCATCGGCCATCGGCCATCGGCCGAGTGCCTGGAGAAGCCCCAGGGAAAGTCTTCCGGAGGGGCACAGAATGCTTGCTCCTCGTCCTGCCGGTGCCAGCCTTGTGAAGGTCTGGATTGTGTACTTGGTTTACCACTCTTGTACCGAGTACTCGGTATAGCGGGAAGTATCTACCTGGTGCTGCGTCATCCGTCCACCATAGGCTGATCACGCGGCACCGAGGAGATTCTTTTGCTTTGAACCGCACTACTACTTCCACACCTTTAGAAAAAGGAGACACCGTCTTGTCCCCTAACGGTGGGCCTGATCTGAATCTCGGAGCAAAATTTCCCGTCGCATTTCGTTTCTCCACATTTTGAGATGATCTTGCCAGGTACCAGGGGATGAACAGGGACGAGAATGAGCCAATGTGATCATCAAGCAGCTTCCCTCTGATTATCACCCAGTTCTCCTCGTCCAGAATAGCCTCGTTACTACTCACAACCTATTCCGTATAGACAAGAGTGAGACCAATGCTCGTATTCTCGCACGAATCGACAGCTCGAATGTCTTGCTCTCCCCTTCTCCTGCTCCTGGTTTCAGCTCCTGTTCCAAGTACTCAGGCAAGCCTCTCATTTACTACCCCAGGCGAATGTTACCTGGCCAGCTCGGGTATCGACTGTTGGCTTTCGCCTGGGAACGGCGCCAACGGGGAGTCAAATTATTAATAAGGCCCTCCAGACTAGCCTCTGTGGCCTGCCTCGCAATCCAGGGCGTGCCAGGGGAAAAGTATCGTATTGTCGCGCAGCCAATTTCCCAAACCGATGAAACACGGGGTCGAAAGCGGAGGCCGTGAGGCTGAGCGAAAAACTCAACCGCCATCGACTACTACGACGTGGTGGACATGCCACCACAGACTCCTGTCTGGAACCTTTTATTCTGCTTTGCTCCGCCTCTTTGGAATAGAACTTGAAGGTTTCTCCTTCTTTACACTCGTTTTGGTCATTACTTCTCACACCACCTCCAGCTGGCCTGTTGTTTGGGAGTTTGTCATTCCTCGTCACTCACTTGCTCGAGACGTATATCCGTGCTCACTACAGTCACTCTTTACGGCCTTTTCTACGACTTGCACGCCTTGCAGGTAAATTGAAAACGAATCTTTGCAAAGAGACGTCGAATCCATCCAAAAATGCCTTCGCTCTCTACTTCGCTCTTCGCCGCCGGCCTGGCGACATTGGCCCAGGCATTTACCGCCCCTGGTGCACAAACCTGGGGCCCTCTGCTCACCCCAGATGTGTCATCTGTACGTCTTTTTCATCACGCCTGAGGGCGTAGCTGTGGAGTGGGATCTGACAAGATAATGCAGCCAGTCACCCAAGGCGAACAATTCACCGTGACCTGGGATCCTGAGAAGCACCCAACCGACGGCGTCACCGTCAGTCTCGTTCTCTGCCACGGACCCAGCACCAACTGCGTCCTCCAAGATACGGCCATTGCGGAGGGACTTCCCGCGGCTCAGAAATCCTTCGATTGGGACGTTCCTTGCGACTTGGAGGCCGGTACTCAGAACACGCCGACCGGATATGGTATGCTGGTCATTGTGGACGGCACTGGAGAATTCCAATGTAAGAAGACCCAGAGCAACCCCCCTTTCGGAGAATCGCAATGTCTCCCGGTTCAAATTCATCACAAAAGATATAGGAAGCGAACAAAAAGGGCTGACATTCCCGGTGTGGCACGATAGATTCGACTCAATTCTCCGTCCTCGAGGGCAAGAGCTGCTCGGGCTCCAGCTCCAGCTCCAGTTCCAGCTCCGGCTCGAGCTCATCCTCTTCCAAGATCTCCGTCTCGGCAACCACCGTCACCGGCAGCAGCGGCACCTCCATCATCCTAGGCCCTCCTGCGTACCAGACCGGCACCAACACGTGGGGCGCCTCGGGTAACTCGTCGTGGGCCACCACCGCGACCCCGACCGGCAGCAACGGCTGGAACGGCGGCGCGACATCCACTCCCGTCTCCTCCTCAGACTGGGGCAACTACAGCACCCTCCCCGGCACCACCGTCATCGCCACGGAGAGCACCCTGACCACCGCCCCCAGCGGTGGCTCGACCGTCGCCGCCGAGAGTACCGGAACGGCCTCGGGCCCCGCTGCCAGCGCATCCGCCTTTGACGGCGGCGCCGGACGAGTCGGCTACAGCGCCGCAGGCCTGGTGATCGCAGGCGCCGTTGCTGTTCTCGCTCTGTAGAACGGGCGAAACGAGACCCCGGGAGCTGTGTAAGGGAGGGAACGAGGGAGAGGCGTCGAAAGAGTCATTTGGGATGTGCGTGTGTGTGTATGTGTATGTTAATTCTCGTGGCATCACCACACCCAAGGCATTGCATTCAGGTAATCATTGGTACCTAAGTAATCGTGCAAAACAACGTCCCCCTGTGCCTGCTCTTCTCTTTTCAAATACCCGAAGCAAGCTAGCTGTGCACATGTGTATTGAGTGAGTGTGTTATACTCGGTGCAGAGAAGGTCAAGGCATGGTCGAATAAGAAAAAAAAAAAATCACTAAGTGTTTTGAGCGTTATTGAGTTGTTCCTACGAAGGTGCATTCGATGTATATATGCCCCCCCTTTTCGGATGGCAAGCGTCACAGTCGCGAGATTGAACAGTCGCAAAGTAGTCAACAAGGTATATTCTTGTGGCTCAGTAGACCAGCTACGAGCCATATCATTCATGATCATCGTCATTATATCAATCCAATCCTGTTGAAGTTTCCCGGGCACAGCTCCTCGTATTCCACACATGGTCATAACTCTGGCAAAATCATTTTCGTCTGGCCTGTGCAACATTACTCCAATCATGCATTGACCTTTTGACATCTCCTGCGTCACTCGCGATACGCAGGTGGGGGATCGCGCATATCCATGTCATCGTCCCTGTACCGACTGGAGTACGAGCTCGACTTTCCTCTACCGCTCTTTTCATTGCCGTAGGGTCGGTATCTACCAGGAGTCTCGGCATCGAGTTCTACGTACCCTTCTCGCGGTGGGGGTGTAGGCTTGTGTACCGGTGTGACGTTGATTTGAGGTTGTGAGTAGGTATGCTGGAGACCGTTCTCTCCTCCGTTAGGCTGGTGATATTGCGGCCGTTGCTGCGTGGGCATTGAGTTCTCCCGTACCCGCTGGAATTCCTTTCGTCCCCCGTCGTAGTACTCTCGTGCTTCTCCCGGCTTTTTCTGGTCGCGAGGCATCTCCGGTGGATACATATCATGCTGGATCTTGCCTGTCTTCATGTCAATGTGCACGCCGGGTGGCGGATACACTGTGGCAGGACGCTGCAGAGGCTGAGGGACAAAGTTGGCGTTTATATTGTTCTGGGGAGGGGGACTGCCTTGCCACTGAGGCTGAGGCTGAGAAGGTCGCTGCTGCTGCTGCTGCTGCTGTGATGGTGGTCCTTGCGGCCACGTCCCGTAGCTTTGTAGCGGACCTTGTTGAGGCGGGAGGCCCTGTTGTGGTTGTGGGTGCCACATTGGCGCATTTGCGACCGCTACCGGCATTATCGGTGGTCGATTCTGTGGAGGGGGTGCGCTGTATGGTCGTGGCGGACCGCCAGGCTGTTGAGGTGGACGCAGCTGCTGTTGCTGGTACGGTCGAGAGGGACGGTTCGGGCTGGGGTCATCGTAGTGGTGAGGGCGATGGTGATCTTCCCGAGAATGACGCCGCCTTCTCCTTCGTCTCTCACGATCCCTCTCTTGTTCCTCTTTGCTGTCGTTGTGGATTTCTTTCAGTAGATACCCTGCCGCGACAAGTTCGAGGCCGCCTAGAATAACCATGGTTCCAGCCTCGAGGTGTTCTTTTTGATGGATTTGTTGTCGACGGAGGGCCGGGTCGATGGGCTCAGACAACGAAGAGGTTCCTTGGAGAGAAAAGTGAATGCCAGACACGACAAGTATGTGGGAAGAAGACAGGCTGAACAAAATATGCCCTGCCCTCAAAGCCGCCGGGCTGGGGAGGCTGTGTTGCAGACTTTATTCGCAGTCGCCGTCTCATTCAGCTGCGGCTGACTTTGGACTAGTGATCTAATTATTCCCATAATCACGTGGGGCTTTCTGCCGCCCTTCCCTGCCACCTTCATGTATGAGGGGAACTTCCACAACCTCTCTGTCAACTTCCTCCATACGGTGACGACTAATCGGGAACTTGGCAGGTCGATTATCAAAGTGTAAAGCTAGAATGCCCCGCTGTTTGCATGAGGAACAGGTACCTTCCGCAGGTTCCGATCCAGGAAGAGAAGATCTTGACGCAAGTCATTCTACATAATGATGGAGGCTTCCGGTCTTGGGCCGGATTGTGTGGATCGGACGAGGCTACAGATGGTGGTCGATGCGCTGATCAAAAGGTCCTCCCACTGCCAAAAGAGACCGACGACCTGGGGTCATGCCATCGGACACTTGGCGCTCCGATCAGCGCGATAGATGTATCATGTTGCTGGTTGCATTGACTCACTTTCCCAGCGGGACGAACGATTCCACCCTTTCTCGATATATCTGAGTATAGGGTATACGAGGCAGAGTATTTCGCGGCGACGGTCAAGCTCGGCTGGATAAGTTTCTATTATAGCGAACACTATCGCTTTCTGCACCAATACCACAGACCAATAGTCGACAACAAAAAATAAAATAGTTTGTACGAGGTACCTCGTAAGGTTGGAGGAGGGCTGGGAACATTGTGGGGAAGCATGTCACGTGAAAACCACGTGACCAGATTATCAGTGGCCAATCGGGTACGCCACCGCTGCTCAACCAATAAAATACGCCCTGCATGTACTGTCCATGTGAATCGACGGCAGAACTGTCAGCCTCCTGCACTTACAGTGGCCTTCCCAGCGAGTGTCTAGCCGTGTTCTAGTAATGATCAAGAAGATGTTCCCTACCTGCGACCTTGATGCTTTCCCGCCCTAGTCAAAGAGATTATCGATGGTACTCCCCCATTTTCCTTCTCCCCGGGCGGAAAACACTATGCCGAGATTGCTCGGAAGGCATTAACCGATGAGGCTCCGGTAGAGTGAGACTATCCGCTGTGGTGTATAGAGACTATGACAGTCGTGTAGCTTAGGTCGCCATCATGTTTAGCGACTTGGGCCCAAGGTTTGTTCAAACATTTTCTTTTGGTACACAGTTTTCGCCGATTGGAAATATCGACTAAAAATGGAGGTCAGTCAGGGAACCACCTGTTTGTTGATTGTGTCAGATGTGCTGACACTGTCCTCGTGTCTTCTAGGGACAAATGCAGGTCAAAAAGGCCAACAGAGAGCAAGTGCCTATGCATGAACGTCCCGCGCGGTACGGGTGGCCAACCACCAATGACCGAGGGTATACCATCAACGAAAGACCTTCAGGTCCAATTAGGCCCATGAAGGTGATCTGCGTCGGTGCGGGTGCTTCAGGTATTAGCCTAGCCAAGTCTGCGCGGGATCTCAAGAATGTCGACCTGATAATATATGAAAAGAACGCTGAAGTGGCAGGGACATGGCTGGAGAACAGATATCCGTAAGTCCATCTTCTCAGTGGATACCCCTTTGGGGAAGAGCTTGTGTGCGAACCCTCGCTCGCCATCCTTCTCCATGGCCATTTGATCTTGCTCAAGGCTCGACTCGCTGGCAAAAGGCCAACATGTTCAATCTTTAGAGGCTGCGCGTGTGATATTCCCAGTGTGACATATCAGTATAGCTGGGAGCCAGCGATCTGGTCCAAGTTCTATTCCGAAGCTCCAGAGATTTTTCGCTACTTCAAGGGTGTGGCCGATAAATATCAACTGTACAACGCCATCAGACTACAGCACCGGGTCGATCATGCGCAATGGATCGCCTCGGAGGCGAAGTGGAAAGTGCAGATAACTGATCTCACGACGAACAAGAAAATTGAGGATAGTTGTGATGTCTTTGTGAATGCCATGGGATTTCTGAAGTCAGTGCCTCCAATCCACAGTTCCGATTAGGTATTGACCAACACGGCTAGTGACTGGAACTGGCCCAAAATCAGTGGCCTCGATACCTTCCGAGGAGTTGTTGCACACTCTGCAGGCTATCCCGAGGACCTTTCACTTAAAGGCAAGCGAGTGGCAGTCGTCGGTAACGGTTCTAGCGGCATCCAGCTCGTTGCCAATGTACACCAAGAGGCATCACACCTATACACGTGGATTCGCTCCCCTACGTGGATCACTCCAGGATTTGCCCAAAAGTACGCTGGGCCAAATGGCGGGAATTTTGCATGTTTGTGTTCAGGAGCAGGCTTGAAAAGAGCGCGTGCGCCGCTGATACATTGTGTTAGATACTGAGAAGCAAAAGCAGCTGCTGCGAGACGATCCAGAGTACTATCTAAAGTATCGCAAGGCCGTCGAGCTGGAGATGAACGGCGACTTTTTGGCTTTTCATCTGAACACGCCTCAGTCGAATGGGGGAATGCGAGTAGGCCACCGATTGCACTTTGGAGCTTGAGACCGGCCAGAACTGACGGATTGCCATAGTATGCGGCACGCGAAATGAGGAAGAGATTGCAAGATAGAGAAGATCTTGTGGATTCCCTCATTCCCAAGGAGTTCCCCCTGGGATGTCGACGCCCTACGTATGGTTCTATCCTGATCAACACACCCTGATCGCTAACACCGTACAGCCCTGGAACTGGATACCTCGAAGCGCTACTGCAACCGAACGTGACCACATTCAAACACGGCGGCTTGACGCAGGTGACGCCCGACGGCTTCATAGATCCTGAGGGCAACGAGCACAAGGTCGACGTGATCATTCTCGCAACAGGGTTCAATACCTCGTGGGTCCCGCGGTTTCCCATCACTGCCAATGGGATCAACCTACAAGATATCTACCGCAAGACGCCTGTGAGCTACCTTGGAGTTGCAGCCCCTCAGATGCCAAACTACCTCACATTCTATGGACCCTACGGACCCCTCGGCCAGGGAAGTGCCATGCCGATGATCGAGGCGTTTACCACCTATATCGTCTCGGTGGTCAAGAAGATGCAGACGGATGACATCCGCGACCTCACACCGAAGCAGCGCTGCATTGACGATTATGCCGAGCATGCCGATCTCTTCAACAAGCGGATGGTCTACAGTGGACACTGCCGCAGTTGGTTTAAAGGGAATCAGATTGATGGCCGCGTGATGCTGCATCCGGGAAGTCGTGCTCAATAGTGAGGCCCCCGAAATTCTCCGTCGCCTTTCTCCTCCACCTTGTGTCTTTCCTTGCCTGCTTGAACATCGGCTCCTCAGGGTTCTCCCTGTTCTCCCCCATTCATTCTGTGCTGGTTCATGTACTAACAGACTCTCAGCCTCGAGCTCATGTCCTCGCCGCGCTACGAAGACTTCGACATCAACTACTGGTCACGAAACATGTGGGCCTGGCTCGGCAACGGCTACTCGCTCCGCGATCTCGACGACAGTGACAAGTCGTGGTACTTGGGCCTGGTGGACGGGGTTGATGTGCAGAAAACTTTCGACGTCGACGAGATGCTGTGCCCGACGAAGCAGTCGTCGACCGCGCGATTGTGAAGATGAGAATTGTAGTCAGGGAACAAGAGTCAACCCTCTTTGTGGATATTAGATTGCTAGATGTCAATTTACGAGGGTCGCAAAAGATAGATCTGTACCTACACACACGTCTTTGCTTAGAAGTTGGTCACGTAAAAGGGATATAGTGAGCAAGTACATCGGAACTAAACTGCCGGTATCCATAAGCTTAGATCTATACGATACTCCATATAGACCAACTGTCGCTATCTCCAGAATGACCGTCTAATTCAGCTTCGCATGAAGCCAGTCACCGACGTTTTCGACCGTCCGCGTCGCCTCAGGCTCCCTGCCAACCGCAAAGTGATAGACGTGTTGCCCGTTGGGGACAATCTCCAGCTCGGTCTCTACACCGGCCTTCTTCACATGTTCCGCCAGCCGGACCGCGTCGTCCCTCAACGTCTCGGCACCCCCGGCTGAGATGTTCATGGGCGGCATGCCGGTGAAGTCGGCGTACAGAGGGTTCGCAAAGGGGTCCTTTGGCGATGTCGTCCCACCCAGGTACATCGCGACCGCCATGTCGGCCATGCCGGGCGGGCTGAGGAAGTCTGTGTCGGCGTTGCTCTTGAGCGACTCGCCGAGATTCTCCATGTCGATCCAGGGGGAAAAGGCCACGACCGCGGCCGGCAGCGGTTGGTGCTGCTCCTTCAACGCCAGAGCCACCCCCGTGGCGACGTTACCGCCGGCGGAGTCGCCCCCCAGCGCGATTTGGTTGGGCGCAAACCCCTTTTCACCCGTCAGCCAGTTCCACGTCGCCAGTCCGTCCAGCCGGTTCGCGGGCAGCGGACACTCGGGCACCAGGGCGTAATCCGTGACCAGGCCGTAGCAGCCGGCCCGCTTGGCCAGGTGGCCGACCAGCTTGCGGTGACTCGACGGCGAGCCCGCGAACCCCCCGCCGCCGTGGAAGTAGAGGATCACCTGCGACGGGTTCGCGTGCACGGGCTTGACCCAGATGGCGGGCAGGTTGCTGCCGGGCACCTTCTCCTCCTCGTAGGTCACCTCCGTAGGCTCAGTGGCCAAGTCACCGAGCCTCCCGACCTGCTGGCGCTGCCCTTCGAGGTCCAGCGGCGCGTTGGTGTTCATGAGACGACTGGAAATGTCCTTGTACACGCTCAACGTGTCTAGGGGACCCCGATGACCGGTCATTTTGTCTTGTTTTTCCGACGTGACGGTCGTTGCGGGTGGTGGTGTGAGCAAGTGTAGGCAGGTTCTGTGGCCTTTTGTTTTCTTCCAAACTTCTACTTTCACTCTGTCGTTTTCCGCCTGTTGGATGCCTTGTACTGCCCACTGCTCACCCCATACTGCCAGCCCCTGATGGGTCTTTTGATGGTAACCGTCGTCGGTTGTATACGGTAGTGTCATATTACAGACCATTCCACCCTTTCACGCCACAACCACAGACCATTGGGACTCGGTTCCCCGGAAAACGATTAACCGAGTATAGTCGGGCTCGCGGAACGAAGGGGTTGCATCTTGGAATTCTCCCTGGTGCCGCAAAAGAAGCAGAGCAAGGTCATATGGGAGGGTTTAAACACGCTGTATCTGAAGTCGGCCCCGAGGTGACAATTTGGCTCACATATACAGAGTGCGGCGATCAACTTCCTATTTGCCGTCCAGGTCAGATTAAGGTAGCCACCCCCCGAGCAAGCTGCCATTTCTAGTGAGCCTGAGAGGTGGTACCGGTACATGCCATTCGACTTTCACTGACTTTGTTAGTCCCAACGCAAACCCGGCTCGACGGTCGGGGTACCCGAGTACAATGGTGTCGGTTGGCATTGTATAGATCCTTAGCCGTAACCATCCCTCGAATTGCCACCAATGGCATGATCCGCAGATCTGTCCACCAATACTTACCCGGATGTCCGTCTCTTTGACAGTGCGTGGAGTACCCTGGCCGCCGGCGGCGTCCCTCGACATATCTTCTGTGAGGCACATATGTCTTTTACCGGCCTGCTAGGTCAAAATGTTGGATGCCATCACACTCTGTCAGCGTTTCTGAGAGCTTCGGCAATCTCGTTGTACCGGAGTGGTCGATTTCTTCCATTGCGTTGAATACAGCCAAAGCATGGCACACTCCAATGGAATCAACAACGGCGCCACCAACGGCGTCAACGACACCGCTGACCTGGATCTAGACGCTCTTGTCATTGGCTGTGGATTTGGTGGCTTGTACACTCTCTACAAGTTACGTGAAAAGGGGCTGAACGCAGTTGCCATTGATGCCGCCGATGGCTTAGGAGGCGTGTGGCACTGGAATCGTGCTGAGTGTTCAACCTTAAAATTACTTTGTTCAGAAACACTTACTCTGTACCAGGGTATCCGGGTGCCCGTGTAGACTCTGAGGTGCCGTACTATCAATACAGTCTTCATCAAGTGTGGAAGGACTGGTCATGGAGCGAGAGATTCCCGGCCCACGATGAGCTTCGTCGGTACTTCAACCACGCCGCCTCTGCTCTCGAGTTAAATGAGTACATCAGACTTCAGCAGAACGTCGTCGATTGCACCTGGGACAACAAGGACCTCAGGTGGACCGTCACGACCGAATCTGGACTCCACATTCGATGCAAGTATCTCGTTGCTGCGGCGGGCTCGAGTTACCGAAAGTACTTGCCAAAATATCCTGGCATTGAGGATTACAAAGGTACTCTGTTGCACTCTGCTGGATTTCCCGAGGAAGACGCATTCGACTTTCGCGGGAAGAGTGTCGCGATCATTGGACAAGGTCAGTAATTGCTTCTGCAGACCCCCCAACTGCACGAAGTCATGAGTAACTCTGTCGGTGTGTTCAAAGGTGCAACTGGCGTCCAGCTCACGCAGTCGGTGTCCAAGCTGGCCGACACGCTACACGTCTTTTGCCGCACGCCAAACATGGCATTTCCAATGAAGCAGCGGAAGATGTCGGTCGAAGAGCAGAACCAGTACAAGGGCGCCTATGATCTACTCTTCAAGGCCACCAGAGCGAGCCGGAGTGGCCTCCCACACACTGCTGAGTCTAGATCGATGCTGAAAGTGACCGACGAGGAACGCGAAGCGCGCTGGAACGAACTATGGGAGCGCGGAGGGTTCAACTTCTCCATGGGTGGCTTCCGCGACTATGTGTTCAACGAGCAGGCGAACGACCTAATATACAACTTCTGGAGACGAAAAGTCCAGGCCCGGATCAAGGATGCACGGAAAGCAGAGATCATGGCTCCCAAGGTCAAGCCCCACCCGTTCGGCACGAAGCGACCTAGTCTAGAGCAGGACTACTACGAGTGCATCGACCGAGAAAACGTGAATCTCATCAGCGTCAAGGACAATCCTATCGAGAGAATCACCGCGGAGGGTATCCAAACTGCCGACGGTAAAGTACACAAGGCAGACTATATCATCATGGCCACAGGCTACGATGCAATCACTGGCAGTTACACGAATATGGGTCTCAAGGACCGGGATGGGGTCGACCTCAAGGAACGATGGAAGAACGGCGTCAAGACACACTTGGGCCTCATGGTTCCCGGTGTTCCCAACATGTTTATGGTGTACAGCCCTCAAGGTGAGTTGCATAGCGCTTCGGATGAAGAAATCGAGCACTCTGCTGACTCGTAGCCGCTAGCACCGACCGCCCTTGCGAACGGCAGCACCATTGTGGAATGCCAGGGCGACTGGGTCGCCGACGCCATCGAGAAGATGCGCAGGGGACACATCGAGACGATCGAGGTGACGCCGGACGCCGCACAGAAATGGGGCGACGCGATCCAAGAGATGAACGAGAAGACTTTGTTCCCCTTGGCCGATTCATGGTACATGGGCGCAAACATTCCCGGCAAGAAGCGAGAGCAGCTGAACTACCTCGGGGGGGTTGCCCAGTACGAGGCGGAGTGTCGCAAGGCATTGGAGAATTGGGATGGTTTCGTCCTCGATGGTCGGCAGGGTGGTGATGTCAAGGCTACACTTTAAACTATACGAATGAGGTTGACACCGAGGCACTATGTACTGCACGTTACCTCGCGGAGAGTGGTACTGTAGATTTTCAGTCGAGACTTTGTCAGTGTCATCTAGAATATCTGAAATATCAATGGCTCATAGATGATAGCATAGAACCCAGTCTATTGCCCACACTGTCTTGTGCAAACGCGGTAGACCATCGCTTGTATGTACATGGGTCATTGGAAAGCTACGACGACAGCGGCAGAGGGAGCAGGCGAAGGGGAAGACGGGAAAGGGGAAGGCCCAGAGGAGGGATGGAGGGATTGGAAGATGACATCCGGAGGAGAGGAGATGGCGCGGGTTGAGAGAAGGGCTAATGAGGCGGAACAATGGTTGTAGAGGGATTACGGTGCCTGAAGTGTGGTGTTGTGGTGAAGAACGAGTTCGAACAATTTGGAGTTCGGCATAAGGCAGTTGTTTAGTTCTGCGCCATGTCTACCTGTTGGACACAAGCCTCGACGATTCGCTGCGGCCTCGAGTTTTCATTCGGGAAAGAACTTTGGATAATGGCGAGGCAGTGCGAACGCGCTCTTGGCACTGGGACGGTCCGGCTCCCCTACGGATGCAGGGGTCAAGGTTGACCGTTCTTGCCGTTTTAGGACACGAGGTCCTAGTTTTAGACCCCATGGCCGGGCCTAGTGCTGCGCTCACCCCTTGGTCAATCTTGCCAAAATCTGCGTGAAGGCCGACATCGTCCCAGCTAAGTCACTGCATCCGCCTAGTCAGAGTGCGACACGCGTGGCCAGTCGGTTTCAGCGGATCCGCTAAACACGTCACCAGCCCGTTCCAGCAGCTGCTTGGGGGCCTTGACAGAGTCGAAGATGTCCAAAATCCGGCGAATTAGAGATGATGTGGCGCAAGATTTTGGATTGGTGATAGGCACTTATGCAAGTGCTTCTGGGGTCGACCAGATTTTGGGAAGCGTGGGAGGCATGCGACTGCCCAATGAGATGCGAATTGCTCGTGTCCCTCATAAGTCGGGCGCAAAGCAAAAAGATTTTGGTGAGGCTGTTGCATCACAGTAATTCAAGACTTCTTCCCATCTCTGTCAATTCTGAACGCCAGGACCGAAGCTTCATTTATTTCTTGCGATCAGACTGCGCCTGTCAGCTAGAGTATTGCTCTCGAAAGCAGGCAAGATGTCTAGCCGAGTCTGTGATGACGAGGCTGATTCGGTGTGGAAGTCGCACAGAGACACCATTCGCACCTTCTACTTGGCTCAAGATCACAGTCTTGAGGAGCTCATGAGGGAAATGGCCTCGAAATATAGCTTTTGTGCAAGGTGAGATCCAGTCCCGGCTCATCTTCACCCATTGACGAGAGTTCTGACTCCCTGAAAGCAAAGCCCAATTTGAGGCCCACCTCAAGAAATGGGCATTTCGAAAGAACTTGACCAAAGACGAATGGAAGGTAGTCATACACAAGATCCAGAAACGGAAACAAGACAACAAGGATAGCGAAGTGTGCAGTGATGGATTTCCCATGAACGTCAAAAAGGTCAAGAAAGCAATCACCAGATACCGATTGCCTTCGGTACCGGACTTTGACGGTATCTGGTCCTCCGTTTCCATCAGGTTGACGTCGCTCACCGTGACAACAGCACCATCACCACGAACACCAGAGGGAATCACGATCCAAACCCCGGTACTTGCGCCTGCAGCATTAACCTCAGCTTCACCAAAAACGGCTTCCTTCATACCAATATCCACAACTTACGTATCTTTCTTGACGAGCTCTCTTCCTTTCGCACATTTCAATGGTAGAATCAATCTTGAAGGTAGGTCAGTCCTATGATTGAGGAAGCAATGGTGGCCTGATGGAACCCTTTCGCGAAACCTATTCTCCTATCAATGCCAGCATCCCTCCTGGGCCGGTCTCCAGAGAGTGCGGCTGACTCTGAACTCGCAGAAAACCCCTACGCAAGCAGTCCCGGAGGTGACGGTGTAGTGTCTACTTCCGGCCTCCAAGATCTCGAATCGAGCATTGTTGGCTGGTTCAAAAACGGAGCAGACGGAGACGAACAGTCCAAATCATTCCGTCAAAACCTGAAGGCGCTGATGCCCGACGAAGTACTCTGTGGCCAACCTAGCAAGCTGGATGTGGCAATGCCACCATCAGCGGCAGTGAACTTTTTGAACCTCACCCTGTTCATGATCTCGAATAACTTGTTTGAGACGGACTCGAAGACCAGCAAAACGATCTACAATTGGGTTAAGCGCAGGTCGCAAGCCGGTCTTCTCGAAAATCTCATGTCTGTTGGCGGACCGACCCTAGAAGCACTCAGGGAAAACATATTCTCCCTTGCAATCGAAGAGCAGGACGCTCCAATGGTCGCAGCCATGCTGCGGTCTGGTCTTGATGCTAATCAATCGCGATTCCCTACGCAACATGGGCTTCCACTTACGCCCCTTCAACGTGCATGCGATTTGGGCAGCCTCGACCTCGTCCGGATTTTGCTAAAAGCTGGGGCAGATATCCAAAGCGCGGGATCGAACCCTGAATCTCCTTTGATCTTTGCTATTAGATCTTTGGGTTACAAATTCGATGTTTTATATGATGATGATGGAGATCTCGAGAATGTGATCATCGGTCTGGTACAACTTCTGCTCGACAAGGACGCAGATGTCAATTCAGGTTCGGATGCATCCCCACTGTTAGAGGCTACAAGAATTTGTCTTCCACGACTGGTCGAAATCCTTCTTTCTGCTGGCGCCGATCCAAATTTTGCCTATTCTGATAATGGCTCTACTCCACTCTTCGAAGCAGTACAAAGCGAAGGGCCTGTCTCCAACGTGATTACTATTGTTCGCCATCTGCTTGGAGCTCGCGCAAATGTGCATGCCATGATTCAATATGAGGACAAGGCGTTCAACCTGCTGAACCTTGCGTTGAACCATTCCAGTGTCGATTTGATCCAACTATTGCTAGAGGCCGATGCGCCATGCACCGAAGAAAATTTGCTTGCTGCTATCGAGAGAGGCGAATTGCAGATCATCAAGCTCCTCAGTACCAAAGCTCGAATCACAACTAAAATGATTCAAAAGGCAGCAGACAAAACGGAGTCTGAGATTTTTTGGCTCCTGTGGGGCCTTGCAGACAATAACACAAGAGAAAGCAGCCGCAGTCGGGCGTTCGTTACCGCTATACGCAGTGGAAATCAGGATGTGATCAACGCCTTTTCTGCCTGTAGGGCTCAGCTTGCAGAGCCATCGGATTTAACTGAAGCGATTGAAGCCGCTGCTGCAAGGGGAGACATCGCAGTGCTTCGCTTACTTCTCAGCGACAATTTAGCCTTCCAGGCTATCGCAGTACATTGTCTTGGGACGTCTCTACGCTGCGCGATAGCTAAGAGTCGGGACGACGTCATCGAATTGCTTCTTGCGGCCGGTGCAGATATTAACGCCAAGGATCGGAAGACAAGCAAGACTCCTCTCTTGGAATCAATACGTCGAGGAGCTATTGGTCTGTCACAACGGCTGTTGACCGCTGGGGCAGAAGTAAACATGACAGTTCCTCAAAGTTGCGAATGCTCCTGGTCTCGAAGTTATGTTGCTTCCGTGCTACCAGCAGCAGTGTCATTGGGGTGCCATCGCCTAATCCAAGAGATAATCGAGACCGAAGCAGATGTTGACGCGCCAGAACCAGACAACGAGAAGCCAGCACTTACTGTGGCAGTTGAAAAGCGTGATCTGACGAGCATTCAAATCTTAATTGATGCAGGCGCCGATGTCAACACTCCCGCCGGTCGTCATTTCGGACAAACGGCTCTTGCGGCTGCTGTTCGCAACAAAGATGTCGACACCGTTCACTATCTCCTGAGGTTAGGCGCGGATCCCGATGAAGGGTCCTTGATTGCCGCTGTCTCGGGGGGTCCAGCTCTTATGCAACCGCTTCTCACAGCCAAGTTCCAGCGATTCCGGTACTATCCGCTTGGGTTTGGTTGCCAAGCACTACAGAAAGCTATCAAATTGGCGGACGCTGCCATGGTTGAATTACTATTATCAAATGATATAAATCCAAGCACAATAGTAAGGCCTCAGCGCAAACAACAATGCTATTCTTATAGTGCAGGAGGGGCAGATTACAACGAATCTGCATTTGGAACTGCAATCAGGCTTGACCAGAGCATGGATCTATGGATGGTCCGCAAGCTCTTGAATGGGGGCGCGAATCCCAACAAAAGAGTAAGTGATGAATCCAACGGTACCGCTCTGCTGCAGGCCATTCAGCGGAAGAGTTTCAAACTGGCCGAAATGCTAGTAACCGCAGGAGCCGAGGTGAATACGAAGGCAGTTGGGAGCCTCTCACGAACACCTTTACAGCTGGCTGCCGAGCACCGTTGTTTGGACACGGTTGATTTTCTATTGCAGAAAGGCGCAGATGTGAATTCACCCCCATGCGATCAGTCCGGAGCAACCGCACTTCAACTGGCAGCTCGCAAGGGGTATCTCGGCATTGCCTGTCTGCTGCTCGACAAGGGAGCCGAGGTCGACGCTTTACCCGCAAAGGTCTATGGGAAAACAGCCCTCGAGGGGGCGTCTGAGTATGGTCGGATCGATATGGTGCAACTTCTTCTGAATGCGGGAGCGCAGGTTGTAGGCCCAGGAAGCCAACAATATGAGCGGGCTCAGCAACTTGCGTCCTCTAACGGCCATATAGCTGTTCGACGCCTTCTGGAAGCAAACCATGCTCAACAGCTGAATGCGCTCCCGGACTTATTTGCGACGGATGTCGAGAATTCTGAGGCTTTGCGGCTTGGAGATGAGATGTATGTGGATCCAGCAATGCTACGACCGGAGACAGGTTACATTTGAGGGAAGGATTCTCCTGGGTCTAGAACTGGGATCAACAGATTTTGTTAACAACATTCCACTTCATGTCAACGAGGGGGAGAGATACTCCTGTGCTGCCACGCAACTGACGATCAGCCTGCCCGGGAGAAAGCAGGGAATTGCGTCCTCACCAGATTTTGGTGCATGCAAGGCTGGCAGAACCAAAATCTGGCCTGTGGGCCAGAAGCCAAAATCTGAGGTGCTGACCCCCCCGGAGGGGGGGGGGGGTTCGATAGCCTGAACATCTGATGCCGATCAAGATTCTGGATTCGTCGCTTCCTTTCGTCTCCTTCGCCGGTACCAAAATCTTGCGTGCCAGCGCCAAAACAGACCCGCTAGCCATCTGCCAGGGACGTGAGAAACGCTGACGAACCAGGAGCTCCCAGATTTTGGGAGCGAGGCTTGGAAGTGGGCCAGGAGCGTCCCATGGGCGCTGGATCCCGCTTCGGGCGCAGTGAGAAGGTCGTGCCAGTACTTGCCAAAATCTGGCTTCATGACTATATCAACTTGGTCCTCCTCGACCAGTGTTCGAAAAATCTTCAGCCACCACCAAATCTCTCACGTCAAATCCTCTTCCTGATTAAACGACACAACCAAAGAGCCAACAATGTCCCGAGTCTCAGTCGAGGCTATCGTAGCCATTGTGGGGGTCATCGTCACCCTGCCGCCGTCGATCATCATCTTGTGGAGGCTGATCAGGAGGAACGAGGGGCTTGCAAGGGCCGCAGACGCATAGTATGTTGAATAACCATTCCGTCGAGAGTCAGCCATGAGTTGACATTGCCATGACATTCAGACCTTGGAATGACCCTTACAACTATCCTGTCCGGTCGAGCCCATGCTTGTTCACCAACGCATCATCACAGTTCCACACCGTCGACATCGGTCACGCCCCAGCAGGATTGGTGTCAGTGTTCCTGTCTGGTAGCATGGATAAACATGGATAAAGAAAATGACCCTTCCAGCTTGTCATGATGTACTCTCCTTTTTAAAGGGTCGGCCGTGTACGGTAAGGAGGATCAGGGAGTTGTTATGATGATGCACCGAGGCATTCCCTCACTGTGGGGGGGAATTCTGCAGCTCGTATAAGATAGTGCCCTTGGCTCTTGGGAACGAATTTTGAACCCGTTCACATCATCATGAATTCCCATGGGAATAAGTATAAGAGCCTCTCAGCATTGAAGAAAGCAACAACATTTGGTATGTAGCAAATTTGAGTTGGAATCCCAAAAAGCCCAGAAGCCGAAGAGAGCGTTCGCCAAGGCTTTTCGTCCGCCGGGCAACGGGCCCGAGCGCACGGACAGATCCATCCCAGCAGTTCCTCGTGAGAACCTTGGCCGCCAATATGTATTGCAACCTCTAAATTACATATGCAGTACTGTGCGTAATCATCTCTATTGGAGAGATGGGAAGGTTACAGTACTGGCTTCGCTTTTATAGTTAAATGTCATTACATTTTAGTTGTATACTCGCTGGAAGTGCTCAGGTCCAAAGACGGAAATAGAAAGTACCTCGTACTCGTGTCTAGATTCCGACGTCGAACTATGCTGTTTCTCTTGTTGAAAACTTGGCCTTCACTATATATATACCATGTGTTTTTTTTTTTTTTTTTTTTAAACTTCGCTTTGAGATATGGAGCCCATCCTGTCTGCAAGAGAAGATGAGGCGGAGGGTAAAAGATAGTCTCGCAAATTTCATATGTATTTTGTTTGTAGACTCTCATAGGGAAAATGGGAAGGGAAGTGCCATGCCTCCCCTTCAAATCTCGGTCTTTGGCTTCTCGATGGTGTCCCACTCCTTCCAGTTGATCTTGCGGAACTTCCACGCAATGGCCAAGACGTGCTCGCCTGTCAGCGCCGTGTTGTGGTTGTTACTGTCCTTCATGCTGTGGTTGGCACAGCCACGGTACTGGATCGTGGTGTCGCTGAGGCTCCGCTGGATCATGTCCTGGTACTCGCGTTCACGCTCGGGCTTGGGCATCATGGCGAACTTGATGCCGCGGTCCTTCTTCCCGACGATGGTCGCCACGCACTTGGCGATGAAGCGCGAGGTCGACTCGTTGACGTCGTGGTAGCTGGAGCTGAAGGTGTTGGCGTTGGGCCCGTTGCAGAAGAAGAAGTTGGGGAAGTCGTAGGTCGCGACGGCGTGGAGTGTCGAGCAGTATTGCTTCCAGTGCTGCTGGAGATCCGTCCCGTCCATGCCCGTGATCTTCTCGTGGGACAGGAATCGGGACGTGTTGTAGCCGGTGCCGACGATGATGCTATCGAACTCGTGGAACGACTTCTCACCCGTCTTCAGATCTCGCGCTTCGATCCCCGTCTCCGTATACCGGGTGACTTGCTCTCTCAACACGGTGCAGTTGGGCTTGGCCAAGGCTGGGTAGAAGTTGTCCAGGAGGAGGGGACGGTTGCAGAAGACTTGTTCAATAGAATTAGCGGCCACAAAAGCTTGGGGGGGGGGGGGGGGGTGCTCCTTGATAGGAGGGGGAAAACTGGGCATTAATATTACTGACATTCATATTCGCGGTCCAGTTTCTCTCGGAGCTCCGGGTCGGAGATCTGCTTTTCGAGAAACTCCCTGGCCTTCTTGTCGAGGAGCTTGTTCAGCCAACTGCCTCGTTTGATGATCAGGGGGCCGAACAACCACCCTTTGACAATCTCGAGGAAGCGCACGTAGACGGCAAAATAAGGCAGATACTTCAAGCACCACATGAAGACGCTGCGCCCCGTGTCAGTTTAAGAAACAGAAAAACACAGACCTCTGCCATACCTGGAGTGTTTGGCGTCGCCCCTGGGCAGCACGGCCGGCGGCGTACGCATGTACACGGTGAGGTGTTTGCACTGGTCCACAATCTCTGGGATGACCTGGGCGGCACTTGGGCCACAGCCGACGACGGCCACCCTTTTCCCAACCCAGTCGAAATCCTTTTTCCAGGTCCCTGTGTGCGTCCATTGGCCCTTGAAACTGTCCAGTCCTGGAATACCGCCAAACTTGGGCCTGTCAAAGGATCCAATGGCGTGGATGACGACGTCGGCGGTCCACAGCTCGATGTTTCCCGTGGCTTGATTCTCCGTCTCGACGTGCCAGAGAAAGTTGCTTTCGTCCCACGTGCAAGACCTGACGTACGTTTGGAACTGTGTGCACCTCTCCAGTCCGTAACGGTGTGCCATTTGGACATAGAAGTTCTTTATCTGAGGGCCCGTCGCGAAGACGTGTGTATATTCTGGAAAAAGCCTAGGGGTCAGCGCTGCTCGTTTTTTCCAAAACTGTTCCCCAAATCCCCCTTTTCAACTTACGGGTCGAGATCATCATTCTGTTGGTGTACATCAGCGCCGGCACATCACAGGCACATCCGGGATAGGTGTTCTTTGCCCAGACACCTCCAAACTCCTTCAAAACGTCAAAGATGATCAACTCTTCGGGCCTGAGCGTCTTGTTTTTCAGAAGAGTGGCCGCTTGGGCGATGCCGGCGACACCGGTGCCCACTTGGATTACTCTCCTATGGCCCCTGGAGACTTTGTGTTGTCCCTTCAAGATGTTGGTGTTGTCGATGCCGTTCAACTGGGCGTACAGATCGCCATCCACAAAGCCCGCGTCACCTTGGAGGTGCTCGCTGACAGTCTCCCCGGCATGTCCATTCGCAGCTGCCATTGTGTGTGTAGCTCGCCAGACTTCCGTGTCTCTGGCTGCACCGTTCTTTAGTATGTGGTTTCTGCGAGGTGCTTCGTATATTGGCCGGGTGGCGGGCGTAAGCTAAAACGTTCCAGCGGGTCGAGCTATATCCCCCATTGCTATCAATGCATATTTCTACGGCTGCTATGCCCCATCATCAGCCACTAGACATTGAGTGAGCCGGGTAAGTGAATGCACAAATGTCGCATACAGCTAAAACCTGTCATGGTAATGACACTGGCTTCGGGAACGAATAACCGAGTTGGAATATCACGCAAGAAATCCGTGAGACCCTTAGCCATGGATCTTGCGTCCCCATGCAACAGCCACCCTATAGCCGATGACAGGTCCTGAGCCATTCGTTCTGCTCCACTGTCTGGCTATTGCGCCAGCTGCCCTTTGTCTCAGATGTGGGGTTTGCCTTGTGTCTGTGTCTGTGGATCATTTGATGAGCACCTGAGGTTTCTTACCTCGAATCACGCACTGGTTACCTGAGACGCACTCCAACATAGTCCACATGAGTACTCTTATGCTATTCGCCGTCCCGAGTGGGCTTCTTTGGAACCTTCGACAACTAGTAGACACTTGAACAGAGAGATTCTCCTTCAACCAAGTATGGTTGACCAACGGCAAGTGGCGTGGTAGAAGAGGAGGCCAGGCATCGATTACGTGGACAAGTATTCTCTGGACTTCTAGTTCACTACCATCACAGGGTCACGACGGAAAATGGCCAACTCGAATAAGTAAATCAGAAGTGTATTCTTGTTTGATATCTTTCTCACCGAAGGAGACTGGCTCCAAGACCAGATTTGGTAGCAACGTTAATATATTCGTCGACCTCTATAGCTTGGCCTTTTGTTGACGCTCTCGGCACTGCTCCTGGTACATCTTTTCCACATTGACAAATTTCCTGAACTCGGCAAAGGATTCTGGATTGGCCACCGCTCCCGAAGGCACAATGTTCTCGCCGCTGATGATCTTCTTGACTGCGATCTCGATCTTCTTGCCGTTGATCGTGTACGGAACCGTCGAGACCGGGAAGACATACTTGGGAACATGTCGCGGAGATCTTTCTCGCTTGATCGAGTCTTTGATGAGGTGCTCGAACTCGCTGGTCAACGTCTTTCCTGGCTCCAGGACCAGGAAGAGGACGACAGCTTCATCCTGGTCAGTGGGTCGTCGCTGCCCGACGCAGATTGACTCGACTATGCCAGGAATCTTATCCAGCACCTCGTAGATCTCGGCCGAGCCAAATCTCACCCCAGATGGGTTCAGAACGCCGTCACTGCTCACGGTCAGCTTTGGACAATCAGATGCTGGGCCGGAAGGGGAAGGCATACGATCGACCGAGCACCACATAACCTCCAGTCTCCGGCGAACGTCGAATGAAATCACCCTGCCACCACACGTACGGTCCCAATTGCTCAAAGTAGGAGCTGTAGTACTTCTCCTGTCCCCCTGGGCCCCAAAATTTGAGAGGCTCGCTCGGGTACGGTCTCGTGGTAACGAGTTGTCCTGCAGCTCCAGTGCTCTCGATGGACTCGAATTGTGCTGTGTCGGATTGAGCAATATCGACCGCCATCCCGAGACACTTGCACTGGATCTCCCCGGCATGCATGGGTAAAGTCGGGTTGCCACTAACCACTATACCAGCTTAGTTATGCAGACAGGCTTCTTCCGGGGTGTCGGGTCTTACGTGAACAGGCAAGATCTGTTCCACCACAGGTAGAGAGCAGATGCACGTCCTTTGGAAACCCGACATCATAGAACCACTCGCAGAGTTCCTCGTTCAAGATGCTCCCCGTTGAAGTAACGGTGCGGAGTGAGGACAGGTCCAAAATATCTCCTGCGAAGTGTTAGCGTGTCCAATCACTGACGAAGATCATAGATGATCTCTGATGGTTAGGAGCACCTACGGGGGACCAGGCCTGCCTTCTTGATCTCGAGGAGCAGCCGCGGCGAGATTCCCAGCAAGCTGATTCTGAGTACACGTCAGTTGCGTTGCCGTCTATCGACCAAATTGACAACCAACCTCAACTTTTCAACCAGTCGGAGAAGCACCAGGTTGTCTGGGTAAAGTGGCGAGCCATCATATATCACCGTTCTGCCTCCGTAAGACAGTCCGCAAAGAACCATGGCCCACATGATCCATCCTGTCTGCGTGTTTTTGTTAGTAGGGCTGAAATACTTCCACAAATCGGAGGTAAGCACATGCCGTTGTGTACTGCAACACCACGTCGCCGGGCTGTACGTCGAAGGCGAGGAAAGCGTCCTTTTTGACCGAGAGGAGGAGCCCCTGTGCACTGTCAGACGGTTGAATCCAACGGAAAAGAGAGGCTGCTTACCGCAGCACTGTGAACTATGCACTTTGGCGCACCCGACTGGCACCTTTAGTTAGAGGAGGCGTATACTCGCGCGTGGAAGGGATACTAACAGTGCCTGAAGAGTAGACGATAAATCCAGGGTGGGAGAAAGGCAGTCGAGTGAATTTTAGCGGTCTCCCTATACTATGCTTGAGAAAGTCTTCATAGCTAAGAAACTGACGGCCACTGTTGTTGTTGTGCTGCTCCTTTGGGCTGCCATCGTGGCCCTGAGGAGGGAGGACGACCAAGGTCTTGAACTCGGAAAATCCCTCGAGGCCTCGCACAATGGCGGCATTTTTTGCCGTCAGGTCCATGGCTCTGCCCTTGAAGACGACGGACGCTTCACCGAAGACGATTTTGGGCTTGATCTGGGTCAAGCGATCTAGAATTCCAGATTCGCCCATGTCAGGGGAGGAGGACGACCAGATGGCTCCTATTGAGAGGGTGGCCAGGCACAACACGACCGTCTCAAGCCGGTTCGACAGGACGGCTGCCACGCGGTCATGTTTCTTCACGCTCAACGATATCAGTGCGTCTGCTGCACGCTCCACCATGGAATACAATTCGCCCCATGTGTAGTCCTTGATACTGGTTCCGCCCTCTTGCACCACATGCACGGCAATCTCGTTCGGCGGCCTCCCGCTGAGCAGATTTTCCGGGAAGCTCAATTTCACGCCGGGGAAGAATTCTGGTGGTGGGAACAAAGGTATGCGGCCCTTGAGCTTTTGTTAGCATCGGCCTCGTCGTGGCTGAAAGAGAGGGGCGTACAGCAGGAATCGCGTAGTCCAGATTGCCCTCTGCTTTGAGCTCGACAAAATGGATCAAGTCGACCCAGAATTGCGGTGCGGTATCGTCATCACATGAGTACTTGTGGAGTTGATGGTAGTTTTGAAGATTTAAGCCTCGTCGTTGATTGACAAAGCGCCGGAAGCGATCAGTCTGGGTATCTACGCCCTTCCGGGGACTCCACAGCTGTCGCGGTTTGTGGTGTGCTGGCACAGACATCTCTCCCATCCACGAATGATTACAGATCGACACCAACGAGGCCCCCTTACAATTTTCATAATTGGGAACTACTGGGTTTAATGCTGCAAGTACAAAGATTTGGCTGCTGACTAGGCACGCAAGGCTGTCGGAATCGTCGTCAGGCTGGACCGCCACCCTCGGCCCGGTTACCCGAAGAGATCGATGCTACTGTGTGCAGCCACTTTTGGTCGGTTGTAACGTCGGGGCCTAGATACACGAGAGAGGATGTCTACGCGAGAGTCCTAGCTAGCTAATCAGTCTTTCCAGGCTATGGTAATAGACATATTATTTGCTATAGTTGCACCTATTTAACTCTTGTATTACAGACAGGTCGAGTGGCAGGGGTGGGAGCGAGATTGTGCCTGCATAACTGAATCAGTAGGGTTCCAGTGAGATCAGCTCCTTCACAATGAGCCGAGCTTGGAACAGCTAGAGTTATCTACGCTGCACACCACAAAGCTAGCGTCCCCTCCACTCTATCTGTCGAATCCTCTTCCGTGCTAGCTTCGCCGAGCGACCCAGGCCAACGGTCTCTTCCCAAGACCAGTTGCACACTTCCACACCTGCGCCCATACGAGTACGAATGAATTCCTGGACAAAGAAATGGCACTTTTGAAAGCTATATCCTAGTAGAGGTGTAGTCAATGCTGATTGTAGTTCGCCGAACTCAGTCTTGTGACCCATTCAAGGTGCGCTGTGTACACAATATAGTGGGTCGCGTGAGTCAGCGAACACCAATTACCTTGGAGTAAGTGCCCCCACAAATTCGGCCTTGCCGCATCTGGCTAGAAAAGAATTCCCGCGGGGAGCCCTTGATTGACGCTCTGCCCAAAGACTTTGCGGGGCCCCTGATTTTACTCCGACCTGCGCCGGGGCCCTATTTTTCAATCTCTTTTCCACCTTCTTTCCAGACACAGACACGAGCCCGGCGGCACAAAGGAAGTCTACACCATCTTTTCAAAAGCTGCGTCTACGAAAGCCAACATCATGTCGACCAAGGTGTCGAAGCCGTCGCAATCGGCGGGCACAAGAGCTCCTGCGCGCACTCGCGCGTCCGTCGCCTGCATCAACTGCAGGTTACGTAAGATCAAAGTGCGTGGAACCCGTCTCCGGCGCACTGAGCGCAGCCCTTGACACAACATCATGTAGTGCGATGTCCAAAACCAGCCGCCGGGGTCAGACTGCACCCAATGTCGAAATACAAATGCCCCATGTTACACTGATTCCGGTGGTGACCGCAGGAAGTAAGTCAATCGGCCATCTTGTCAGGTCGGTGCGCGCTTACCAGGTGTTTTGAGGCGCCGTGGTGTTGGCCAAAATTTGTCCTCGGTACACAGTCGCCTTGCAGAACTGGAAGACCTGTTGGGACTGCATGGGGCACGAAACGCAGAATCCGAAAGAGTCGAGCAGCGTCCTCAATCATCCCGCTACCAAGATGCAAGACACCCTGCTCTGAGCGGCACATCGCCCCCCTTGGTCACCGCCAACCCCGCGCCACCACCAGACACTGGTCTCATGTCGGCCGAGCTGGCAGGAGGCTCTCTGTTGGCAGACCATTCTGTCCAGATACTCGATGGACAGTGAGTTACGGATGCTTGTGTCGTCGTCTTACACTCTTAACATGGTCGCATAGACTCCCAACCCCACAACCTCCCGACTTTTCCGGTCTGGCTGGAGAGTGCCAGAACATGTTCGACATGCTGCTCGACAGCACAGAACGATCGATGACCACCTTGGGTCAACCAGGCTGCCAGTTGGACAACAACGTCTTTTCGCCAGCCGACGATGCAATCAGACAGTTGGGCATACAACAGCCGCACTTTCACACCATGGCACCACCCCGAACAGGAGAACCACCGACTTCGGATTTTGAAACGCAACAGTCCTATCAGCTGCCGCAAACCTCCCTCCTTGCCGACTTCGACGACTCAGCGAGTGTGGTGGGCGACGATAACGAAGAAGAAACCTCCCTGGGAATCGATTCCGCACCTCTTCGAACGGCACTCCTCCAGACGTTCTGGGATGTGCACCCTTGTGGAATCCTGGTCGTAGAAAAAGAGCCGTTCATGACGCATCGGTCGATCGGCAAACGCAGCCATTATTATTCGACGTTCCTGGAAGACGCCATACTTAGCTCCGCGAGCCGGGTAAGCACGTCCAGCTTCATTCGACAACTGGGGGCACAGTTTCTCGAACGCGCCCGGGCACAAGTCCTCCAGGAGATCGAAAACCCAAACATAGCCTCGATGCAGGGTCTGACTCTGCTCAGCGAGTGTGTGGGCATCACAGGCAACGACAGGCTATCCTGGATATACTGTGGTATTTTATTCCCCACGGCCACCGATCCAAACTCATACTGATCCTGTGTAGGCATGGCTTGTCGATTAGTCTTCGATCTGGGACTACTCCATAAAAAGTCCAACACCCTCAACGACGAGGGCGATGTCGTCGACGCCTCCCACCGCATCGCTTCGTTCCTTTCCACCTTCGTCTTCGACCAGAACCTGAGCCTGTATTTCGGTCGGCCGCACTCGATGACCCTGGCGCAGTTGCGCAGTGCCCTTCAAGGCGCCAAAAACACCTCGATCCCGGAGATCCTCCAAGCGTGGAGCCTCCTGAGTGTGCAGGTTTCACGCATCACCGACGTCTTGAACACCGCCACTTCCGCCGACGTGACGAATCAATTACACCTCTTCCCCAAACTGGCGGCAGAAATCGATGCCTGTTATGAAAGCCTCCCGCCACAGCTGAAATGCGACGATTTGAGTCACAACGACCTGAACCCGCACTCTTACGGATTGAACCTGCAGTTCTGTGGAGTCCGAATCATTCTGCACCGCCTGTGGAACAGGTTACTGGAGACCACAGAAGGAGGTCGTTCGCACGCGGCAGCAGGGCCTTCTGGGGTGGTCGGAACCGAGCAGCAGCAATGCGTGAACCAGTCGGCGCGGATCATATACCAGAACGCCATTCGCGTGGCGAGGCTGACGCGGACCTACAAGCTGATCTACGGCGTCGAGAAGCTCGTCACGGTCATGTTGATCAACACGTGTTGGGCGACGACGGCGCTGATATCGCATATTCTGTCGTCACCGTCCCCGTCCCCGTCTAGCCCTCACCCGGGAGACGGGGGTCGGAGGAACGGAAGCAACGACAGCGACACCAACATCTACTGGCTCAAGTTCTTGTGGAAAACGCTAGAAGAGTCGCAGCCCTACTATCCCTTGGCCGCGCCCATCCTGAGGACGTTCGCCCGCCTGATCGAAGGCACACATCTCCACACGATACTCCGCGCTCGGCGCTTCTCCAACGGCGAAGCGACGTCGCCGTCGGCAATTTTTACATCTTCCACCGAGAACAAAGACCGCGGCTCGGTCGAAGCACTCATGCACGACGTGTCTTACGGTCTGGGTTCTTCCGCCCGGGCTCCCACGACGAGTGACAGTATGTTTGTGGATTTGTCCATGGTCGACACGTCCTGGATGTTTAACTAGCGCGGAGGGCCTCACACGAGCTCTGTTTGTGTGAATAAAGGGTGGCACTATGCGAGTCCGATTCTGTAGGGTAGCGTGTTGACGACCAAAGCTATTGCAAGACATAGCTGGTTTACGGAACAGCGACACGACGGTGGTGTACGCAGCAAACCGTGTTCTTGTCTGTGTGATCCTTCGTTGCTTCCCTTCTACAGTGACTGCTAGCTCCTAAACACGTTCGTCGAGAGTGACAGTCTAGAGCCCTGAGACCCGCTCCGCGGCCCGCCCAAGAGACTCGAAACAATGCGACAAGAGCAGCACAGAACGCTGACTCGGTTTCAATTTTCTAACACCTTGACGCACAAGCTTGAAAAAGACCCCCTCCTGCAACACGTATAGCGTGCCGAGGATAATCGCCAGTCGTCAACAGTCATTCGAGGTCTCGCCCGCCTCTCCCCCAGGGACGGGGAAGTTTTGGACCATCACTCTCACAGCCGCCGTAATCGTTGTCGGCCCGAGCATTGCGTCCCGGTAGTCGTCTGGCCCGATTAGCCGGTGTATCCATAGACACCCGGTTCGGTCCTCAGCCAGGATTTTTCCGATTGAGTCGCTTAACAGCACAAGCCGGGTCGAAGACGGTTAAGTATCCACCGACGCGTTGAGCTAGTGTTGGCGTGCTATGGCTAGTTTTGAACATGAATAGCCACGAGGGCTTAGAGCAGTGTCATACCAAGGTAGATTCTAGGTATTCATCTTTACGTCGAGATTCTCTCTTTGTAAGTATTGTGATCTCGGTAGAATCTTTGAGCAGTGGTTGTAACGTGTGGCGTCGTCTGTGTTTTGTAGGCGAGACTACAAAGCCTGGTCTTAGCGAGGTGACAGCATGGCATTGGCTTTTTCGGAAGGCCGTTCATGACAATAAAGGATAAAGGTATAACGACGGCCCAACTTATATAGAAAGGCAAGCCGAACTGGTAGGCTCGTGACGTGCACTACAGTAGTTTAAATACTCCCGATCCTTGAAGTACGCACTGACTGCATCGAGCGGACCATGGATCGGGACAAGGTATAGATAACCATATGCACGGTTATATCATAGCTCTACTTTTACTACGGACTTGATTCCGTTCACGACTGTACTGATCCGTTTTGGATGTTAATTACTTCGCTCTTGGTCGATTGAGGGCGGGACGGGTAGCATCTAGCGACCTTGCGGTGAGCTCGCCGTCATATTTACGCTATGATCCGTTTCCGACGGACATGTCTTCAGGCCGCTGACGTTGGTCCATTTGCCTTGCTCGGACTAACGACACTGAATCAGCTGGGGCTCCAGGCTTGTTGCACAAGGCAGTTGACTCACATAGTCGGTATTGGCCGCAATCGGTCTATTACAGCCTGCGACTAGGTTGTCCTCTGTCGCGACATACCTGAGAAATGAAGGCTCTCACACGCTGCTGATGATGCTTGAGACACGGTGTCTGTCGGATGAGATGCACCTGGCCAGCGCGCTGAATGTGTTCGACGCTTGCTTCAAGCCTCTGGCGTATAGACGACGCCATCTGTTGCCAATGCTTTGCGGTGCAGTGTGAGATGACCGTGTTGTGAGGGGAAGATGGTCTCTGGTTCCGGTGACGAGGATTGATGACTGTGAGCCTCAATCTTTGGGGCCCACTATCGGATCCAGGTCGAGAAGATCCTGTTCCCGGGCCGCTCACATAGTATTCTCCTAGGCATGCACATGCAAGTGCGGATCTCGACACGGAGACATGTCCGAATATACCGTATTTTTGACGTTGTGCATCGGCTGGCTTTAGATTTTGACTACAGCATCGCGACTTGATCTTATACTTGAGTCAACTAGCCTTGACACTTGGAGGTAATTCGATGTTGCATGCTGCTGTGCGACCAACACTTGGTTTTAACCCCAATCTATGACTCTTCTCTGCTCTCTGTGCCTGAATGGAAACGTTCTCTCGAATGAATACATTTCCGCTGTTCTTATACTCGTCCCACACCATGTCACTGAGCAGGCCCACGACGCGCCACCGTGTCGTGTGTGACCTGCAGGCAAGGTCGATTCCTTTCGCTGGACCTTGTTTAAATGGTGGACCAGGCATTATCAATGGGAATAATGGCGCCATTGATGTCTACTGCCCAGTCTGAAACCAGAAAAGCCATTAACCTGGCAGGCCGGTCAGGAGGACCCGTCACGTCCAAAGCACCCTTGAGATGGAGCTCTTGAACTTTACTGAACACGAAAAGTCAGCTCATGGGGCCTAGACAAGAGGAAGAGAACTGTACCCATAGACTTTCATAGCCTCGTGGTCGAGCTTGCTAAAGTCCATCTTGTTTTTGATACCCGAGACATACCCTGCCAAATTGTGATTAACAGATGATCAACAGACAAGTTCGAATGGTGTCCGCCTTACCTCCAGGACAGATGGCGTTACACCGGATGCCTTCTTCGTGGTACCGCCAGGCAATATTCTTGGTCACGCCCACCTGTGAGAGGAACCCGTCTCGTCAGTCCACGGTTCCCGTTCCATGAGAGGCTTCTTTTTAGATCTTCAACTTACAAGACCATGCTTAGCTGCTGTATATGCCACCCCACAGATCGCTCCACTGGTGCCGGCCTTGCTAGAAACATTGACAATGGCGCCTCCTCCTCCCTGCTTCCGAAAGACATCCACAACCGCCTTGCAGAGCCACGTTGGACCGGTCAGATTGACACCTAGCTGCCTATGCCACGCTTGCTCTTCGAGGGTGTCCAACCCGTTAAAAGTGTCAGAGATGCCTGCGACGTTGCACAGGATGTCAATGCGGCCGAAGGCGGCCACCGCGCCGTCCACGATTGCCTTGGGCGTGCCCGGCTCCGCAATGTCTCCCTGATGGGACTTGAACTTGGGGTTTGCTATGAATAACTCGGGAGCTTTGTCAATGTCGAACCCGTACACGGTGGCTCCAAGCTCCAGAAGAAGCTTGGTTGTCTCGAAGCCCATCCCAGAGGAAGAGCCCGTGATGATGGCAACCTGGAGGATTCCGTCAGTTGGTCCTGGCCGCTAACACTTTCTTTCCTGGGCCAGGTCTACCTACTTTATCCTTGAGATCGAAACCCATGGCGACGATTCTCGAGTGTTTCAAATCTAACAAGTCGAAAGTCTGTGCAGTAAATGTCGCAGTGTGGATCTCATGCTTTGTTTATAGTCGTCGAGGTACCGAGACACCAAGTCGCTTGTCGTAGGCACCACAAAGTTCTGCGGGATCCGAGGAAAACTCCCTCGCGCTGTTTGTCGACAAGTTCTCAAAGGTCTGCGTAGGAATACCGGACGCGGATAAGCGGAAAATATTCGAGGAGGAGCCGGTTCCAGAAAGACAATCGTCGTCCTCGAACTTCTCGGTTATTGGAAAGCCGGTGCCCATGACCAACATATGGTATAGTCCCAACCCCGCCTTTTCGTATACTACCGTGTAGTGTCTAATACGTGTCTTCTCGTTCGCGGGGGAACCAACCATAAAAACAAACACCAGCAGCCAAATGTACATGACACCCAAACCTGGTGAACACCCACCGGCCTCGATACAATGTCTTTCTACACCTATTTCTTCGTGAACCAGCCGTGGTGGAAGCCGCTGGCCATTGTGCTCCTGCTGGTAAGAGAACATTCCCACCCCCCCCCAATGTTGGGTTGCGATGGACCCCGACGTAACCATTCTGTCCTAGAGCATCATCTATTACTTGGCCAATATCACGTACTATCTGTACTTTCACCCGCTTAGCAAATATCCCGGGAACAAGCTCGATGCAATCTCGAGAATTCCTCACGCCTTGAGGTGCTGGCGAGGCAGGGCACCGATGGAAATGCTCGAGCTGCACCGCAAATACGGTGACATTGTCCGTGTCGGGCCTCAAGAGCTCTCCTTTCAACACCCCGATGCCTGGAACAGCATTTCTGGCCACCGAATAGGCACTGGCCATGGGAACAACGAGAAGGACCCACGGCAGCACACCACCAGCCAGAACAATCTGCTTGGAGCTAGCCGGGAGAAACACGCCCGGTTCCGTCGCGCCCTGTCCCATGGCTTCTCGTCCCAGGCGATCGCCAACCAGCAGCCACTGATCAACCGCTACATCGATCTCCTCATCCAGCGCCTCGACGAGCGCGTGGGGCAGAAGATCGATGCGGTGGCCTGGTATAACTGGACCACGTTCGACATCATCGGAGACCTGTCCTTGGGGGAATCCTTTGGCTGTTTGGAGCAGGCGCGTGCCCATTTCTGGGTCACGACCTTCTTCGAGTCGGTCCGCTTCTTTAATTACTCTCGTCTGTTGGGTATCTTTCCGGAGCTCACGCCTTTGCTTCGCTTCCTGATATCCGAGGAGACCGTCCGCGTTGCAAAGGCCCGCATGGAAATAACAACGCAGACCGTAGAGCGACGTCAGGCCTCGGGACGCAATCGCCCCGACTACATCGACGCCCTCATGACCACAAAGGACGGGGTAGAACCTCTCACCCAAACCGAGATCATTGAGAACGCGGCTCTGGTCCTCATCGCAGGTTCCGAGACGACTGCCACGGCACTCTCGGGCGCCACGTATCTTCTCTGCAAGCACCCAAGGGTCCTCAAGAAGCTGCAAGACGAGGTTCGAAGTGCCTTTATGACAGAAAGCGAGATCAATCTGGACAACGTGAGTCGCCTGCCATACACGATGGCGGTGATCAAGGAAGTTTTACGCATCTATCCGCCGACGCCCATGTCAAACTCCCGTGTCACCCCGCCCGAAGGGAATGTCATCTGCGGCGAGCCTTTGCCTGGCAATGTGAGTTCACTCCGCCTTTGCACGGTACTTGGATTGACTCCACTGACTTCCCTGACAGACATATCTCAACATCTTCCAGTGGACCTCGCACCACAATCCCAAGTACTTTGCGGACCCCGACTTGTTCGTTCCCGAACGCTTTCTCGGCACGGACCCGCGCTATGCCAACGACAACCTTGCAATGATGGAGCCATTTTCCGTCGGACCACGAAACTGCATTGGCAAGAAGTAAGACCCATCCGTCCCTGAAGCGCTCGAGTGTGTGTGTGTGTGTATGTGTGCTGACAAGAAGCTCTCCATCCTGCAGCCTCGCCTATGTCGAAATGCGACTGATCCTCGCGCGGATCGTTTTCAACTTTGACTTTGAACTGGCCCCGGAAAGTGACGGCTGGATGGAGGGTCAGATCATAAATACCTTGTGGGAGAAGCCGCCGCTGTATATAACCATGTCGGCGCGCAAGCAGGGATAACTCTTTTAGTCGATATGGCGCAATTATGATGTGTTAAAGCGCTCGGATTGGAATGACTCTGATTAATTCCTTCCTTTATCCTCGGCGATCACTATTTCAAATTGTGACTGTACGTCAAGCTGGATGTCCCGAGGCCGCAGGCTCCTCCCCGGAGGACGCCTTCTGGACAGAGAGGTGCCACCTAAAGAGGAAATTCCGCCGGCGATGCCAATTTCGACAATCTCGGTCTTTTTGTTTGATTTGCGACATTCTGGAGGGAGTCAGCTCACAGATGTGCAAATGTGGTTGACACTTGACGCCGACCTGGTGTTTGTGAAGCCAGCTGCAAGGGAAGCGGCACTGGCGAAACGATCGACTTAATTCTGGGTGTCTTGGGGGAGTAGTACAGCTATAGTAGGAAGGTAAGACGCGCTAGTCACATCGTAACTAGTTAGGCGTAAGCTATAGTGACTTAGCTCCGAAAGTGGCCCTGGTCTATACCTAGTTTGGCTATAGGAACTCCCCGGGTGTCTCCCAAACTGGGATTCGACTCCTGGCAACGCTGCGTGATTGCGAACCTTTGCTTCATGTCACTTGTGTGTGCCGTCTCCAAAGTCCCGCGAGTACGTGCGTAAGTATACACTGGCGTAACTTATGCTTCCTCGACTTTGTGGGATGGAGAGATGGTTGAAGTATAAGGAACGACGAGAAGGCCGGCGAGCGTCAAACAACAGGTCCGCACCTCACCATAACACCTGCACGACAATTGGCTCCTCGTTGGGTCAAGAAGCGTTCAAGGTCATTGGTCCAAGACTTCCCCCGTTCTTCTATACGGGGTGGCTGACACGGTTAAAGAGGCCGACACTTTCCCGGGGTGAACCGGTCACGATAACTTAGCTACGGATTGGTTGTCAACAATCCTAGATTCCAGTACGGAGTAAGTTGTTCCCAACAAGAGCATATATGCGGTAGTTATCCTTGGGATCGGGGCTGATGGACCAGCACGGTACGGAGTAGCCTGCAGCAGGCCACCCGTGACGGTAAAGCGACTCCGGGGACCGGGCAGCTTGGATACCCGATCAGCGAATTGCCTCGCCGGTAAAGCGACGCCTTTATATCCCCAGGCCGGGAGTCCTGGCGGTGTTGCCTGTTTTGTCAAGCTTTGAGAGTGCGAACCCACGCCTGCTGGCCAAGTTGCGGGAGATCGCTAGGCCGAAGAGTTTGGTAGATCCCCGTGGGGAAAGAATGGGGAAGCCCGGAGTCGTCGCCCTGGGTAGAATGCTCCTTTTGTGTATATAGACGGTCACACCACCCCCTAGCAGGAATATCCGGTCGATCTCTATACACAACCCTTCAACCAGTCCTTGGCATCAGAAGACGTTGGTCGTGAAACAAGGCAGGCTTTTTCGTTGGACCATGGAGACCAAGGAGACTGCGCCTTTCGACTCGCACGTCGAAAGCTCTTCTCGCACATCCCTCGACGGCTTCGATGAGGTGGCCCCCGATGCGATCGGAGGACGCTCCGTCGCTGAGCTGCCCAAGAAGTACTTCACCAGCATTAAGCTCATTGGGTCGGTCGTAGTACGTCCATCACAGGCATCGCTCGGTGATTGCCCGTACTGACAGCGTCTCACCAGGCCTTCTCTCTCGGATACACTTCGGGGAGCTTGGCCTTTATTATGGTTGCAGGATCTTTGGAATTCATCAACGCAGAAATCGGTAACATGTCTCTCTGTGTTCGACTCAGGGGGTGATCTGGAAGGCTGACTTCCGGCGCAGGTCCCAGTCCCGATACCATTTGGATCATCCTCGCCATGACCCTAGGACAGGTCACGGCCTTTTTCACCATCGGTCGGCTTGGCGACATCTTTGGACGCCGCTGGTTCTTCGTCGGGGCCAACACGCTGGCTTTCGTGGGCTATATTGTTGCCAGTCGCGCGCAGAATATTCCCACTCTGATTGGTGGTGTAATGCGATCATGCTTCCCAGTCGCCGAGGGAGAACCGCAAGCTCACGAGGTTACAGAACATCATCAACGGACTGGGCTCTGGTATCCAGCTGTCCGGCGCCGTGGTGTCGGGAGAACTCGTACCCAACAACCGACGATTCATGTCGTACGCCATTGTCACATGTGTCTTTGCGCCTCTCACATCGGTTGGCCCTGGAATAGGCAAGTCGTTTTGTCATCACACCAGCTGGGGGACGGTCCAGATTGCTAATCTCTTGCCCGATAGCGAGGGTCATCTGCGTCAATACCGAGCAGGGCTGGCGGTGGATATACTACATCCTCGCCATCATCAGCTTTCTCGGCGCACTCATTCAGTTTTTCTGCTACTTTCCACCGAAATTCGACCAATTGCACAAGCGTGGCAGTAGGAAAGAGACGGTGAAACACCTCGACTATGTCGGCCTGGTCATTCTCGTTGGGAGTGTCACGTCCTTGCTACTGGGCATTTCATGGGGGGGCCAACGATATGGTGCGTCCCCTACGTCTGCGCAAGCATTCGACGAGTAACTACTTGACAACCATGCCCCTAACGTGAACTAACTCCGTTTTCTTTCCAGCATGGAAGTCTGCGAATGTCATCGCGACCATCGTTGTCGGCGGAGTGGGATTCATTATTCTCATACTCTGGGGTCAGTCACGCATGACGAGAAGCGAGTGGACGCAGTACTGAAAAAACTTGGAACAGAACGTTTCGGCAAGCCTCGTCACCCGGTGCTTCCTCTATATCTCTTTGCGAACTGGAACTTCGACTGCCTCACCGCCCTGGCCTGTGTTGGCTCTATGATCTTCTACGCCTCCAGCATCGTCTTGCCGCAGCAGATGGCGATTCTGTACCGACAGA